AACAATTCAGAACAAATATGCTACCCAGCATACCCTCGCAGAAATAATTCAAAAGTCGATTCCCTCCTCTCAGAAAGCTATCTCAGAAGCAGTAATGAGTGATTTGAATACCTGGCTTTATCGCATTCGTGAGACGTCTCAGTTCTTAGGGGAAGTGGCATTCTATCATACAAATATTCGAAGGAGCAGGCAGAAGGAGCGCATGGAGGCAAATCCGTATCTTCGAAACTTCAAACTAAACTCAGCCATCGAGCTGGTCTATGATGAAAGTGAGGAATTTGACGTGTTGAATAATGAGGAGCTCCAAGTTGATTTCGACCCCTTATTTGAGTGTTTACATATTCACGAGGCACTCGGTCAGATTGAGAAGTTCAAAAGCGAATATGCTGCCACAAGAAGGCAGCAGAAAGATTTGTTGCTGCCCAGCTCCGTGAACTTAACCGATGAAGAGAGCGAACATTTCTTAAGTGCCTTGTTGGAAGGTATTGCTGGCTTTGCTATAATAGAAAAGGCTACTATGCGGAAAGTCCATAATTTGCGTTCCCCAGTTGATGTAGGCCAAACTTTGTTCGTTGAGGAAATGTCGATTGGCTAATACTCTCTAGGTCGATGAGTTGTGGGACTCGATGTGCCATGCCGCCATCAACGCAGTATCCAAAGCTTTGGATGAGTTCGATAACCCGGATGTTATTCTGCAAACCAAAAATGTGATCGCATTATTCATCCAGACAATGGAGGTAAGGTTACAAAGCACGATGTAAATGGTCAAAAATGCTAATCTTAGGCCTTAGGGTTGGGGATATTCAGTGGCCATCTTAGATGCTTATGTGCTTAAGCTTTTCTACAGATATGCTGATTTGTTAAAACGGAAATTCAGTACAGACTTTCAACAGGTCAGTAGCTTCTCCGAAGTTCTAGTGGATACGGGGCTGACCGTTACCAGATTGTGTCTACGGATGAATACATGCCTATGCCTGTCAATAGCGAAGAAGACTTTGACAAAATCATTCAAGTCAGTTGGTATGTTCCGGACAAACCAAAAGAAGAGTACACGTAAGTCAAAAGAATTGTCATCTGCTTTTATCATTCTGACGATTGTTAGATTCCCTGGTGTATTACCATTCTCCCAGATGTACCCGATGTGTTGTATAGATATCAGGAATTTCTTGAACCGATTTTACTTCATAATGGATGATCACTTTCAACAGCCAAATATTATTGATGAGACACTTAAGAAGGTACGCATGACTGGTTCTGCTTTGCTGCTCCTATCCAGACTAATTTCGTCCTTCTCCAGTCGATAGATGAGCTTCTGTCCGAGGATATCTGTGACCCGCTCGTGGAAAAGCTGAGTACCCAGTACCTGGGGCAGATTGTCCAAATCCTCATAAATCTTGAGTACTTCGAATCAGCGAGTCAAGAATTAGAACAACTTCTCTTAGCCGCACGATCATCGACATCAGCTGGTGGACCAATTGTTCTTGCTGCCACAGAGAAGTTCTCGAGCAGTAAGAAGGACGCGGAAAAGCGCATTTTCGAAGTAGTCAACTCCAAGATAGACGATCTGGTCGAGACGGCAGATTATGATTGGTAAGAATTTTCGGTTCATTATCTTCTCTCCCAAATTTGACTGACAATTCACCCCCTCTAGGATGGCACCTTCTCTAGTATCCGAGCCCAGTAACTACATGCAAACCCTCACAACCTATCTTTCCAACATCATGAGCTCCACTCTCCTTACCCTGCCCCGCGAGATCAAAGAACTCATTTACTTCGATGCTCTCTCCCACGCCGCAAACATGATCCTGGTAAGCTTGACCCTGACCATCTCCTAATTCACAACAACTAATCACCCACTAGGCTATTCCCCTTTCCCCCGAAGTCAAAAAGATTAATCCTCACGGCGTCGCCGCCCTCGCAAAAGACGTAGCCTACCTCTCCGAATTTGTCGATTCCCTTGACAACGCTCTTATCCTCAAAGAGAATCTGGATGAATTACAACAAACAGTTTATTTGATGCAGACAGACAATCCGGATGAGTTTTTCGATATCAGTACCAGGAATAAGAAGTTCGGAAGAGTGGATGCTTTGAACGGGCCTAAAATTTTGGAAAAGTACGTCCGCTTGCTTTTGATATGATGTTTTCAGAAAGATTGTGTTTCTGGATATGTTCTAACTTTTGTTTACAGGCTTACTCACACAATTACGAGCCCGGCGAAGCCAGATCGCCTTGCTGGATTTTCGTCAAGGTTTGGCATGAACAAGTCATAGATATATGGATATTTCGATCGCCCCCTCTCTCCATGAACAACAAGGACAATTTTTATGATTAAACGCACGTGTCACTAAGATATCCATCCGAAAATCATACATCAACGCCAAATTCATTATCATAGTAGGTATCTGGGGAAAATTGTATGGAATTCACATTCACATATCCTGCGCCTGTTCTTGCTGCAAAAAAAAACACAAAGCTAGACTACCTGAAAGATCATATCATATCTCCTCCGAACGCCGTCCCATCACACTTGACCACCAATCAACAACGACTAAGGTATGGACCTCCATCATCTTATCCTACCTCATAATCACGCTCGCCTTCAGCATCAGCATCGCCGTCACCACCTTCCTGGCGTGGATAATGATGCGTAGCGTCGGTATTAACTGGATCTTGACGGGGTTGATGTGGGACTTGGTACATTTGCTAAGGCTTTGTTAGATGAGGGTTAGGAAGGGGTAAATTGCATTAGAGGGGTGATGGGGGACGAACTTGTTGAGGTGGAGGCATGGCTGGGTATCCATATATCTCATTCATCTCGCCATACATTGGCTGTTGTGCGCCATACTGGCCAGGTTGACCGGGAGGAACTTGTGGTTGATACATGTTTGGTTGATGACGATATGGGTCTTGTTCTGGAGCAATGCCATGACCGCCGAGAGAATAATCTTGAGGCATGGCTTGTGGGTGAGAGGGGTGACCAGGCTGTTGTGGAATATTGGATTGTTGGGGAGGAAGCTGTGCTGAACCGGGAGCAGCACCGGGAATTTGTGGTGCAGCTTGTCCTGAACCAGAAGGTCTCTTTGCGTGAGCTGCGGCTTCTTCACGTGGAACAATATCAATCAGGAAATCAAACATGTCCGACTTGGCCAATGCAGAAGCAATATCCGATCGTTGCAAGGTGCGACGCTTATTTTCTTCGGCATGGATCCATGCTCTCATAGTGAGTTCCGTGATAAAGATATCACACCCCTTGGCGAATAGGATTGGAGCTTCGGCGGAAATCATCTTTACTTCGGGATCGGCCTTCATGACTTTCTTGATACGTGCGAGGGGGAGTTGATGAAGCTTGTAGTCATGAGTGTCACCCTCAAGATGATTGATGATTTGTTGCCAATAGGTCGTGAGAATGTCCTTATATTGTCCATGCAGACCTTGGTTTACCTAGCCATCAAATTAGCTCTCGTTTTCCAAGTATCTAGATGATCAAAACTTACATTTGCCCACGCTCCTGTGTAGAATTCTGGAACAGGCGCAAAGCCTTGCTGAGATAGCTACTACAACATTAGTGAAATTCGAAACGCACATATCTAGGTTATTCATACCAAGGCACTGGCACCTATTGCGCGAAATCAATTAGTATTTGCTTGATATAAACTGAGAAATTGAGAAATTGAGAAACGAATGAGTGGAAAGATCAAACATACCATAATGACCTCCTTGACTTGTATCATAAACAGGCTGTTGCGTCTGCGCCGGTCGTTGTTGTGAAGCGGATGGCTGCTGCTGTTGTCCATGGGACGAGCCGGGTGGTGGAGGATCCATATTTGTTTTTATGCTTGCTTCTCCCGATCCGTATTGAGGTTGTACGTGGGTAAAGATCTTGAAAGGTCGCGCTTCTGAGGTCTTTAAATATTTCCTCCGGTTGTCTTACTACGGCCGAGATTAATTGGCGCGAAGTGTATGAAGAGAGATAGAAAGGTTAGCCAAATATTGTGGATACGGTCGACTCGTCTTCGTCTTCGTCTTCGAGACTCAAGATTCGTTACCTGGGTGCTAGGTGACGGTGAGCGACGGCAGGCTAGCTGCAGATGGGCTGACTTGAATGATTTTGGAGAGGTTCAAAGTGACATTGAATGCCTCTTTAATTGAGGAGCTTTGGCTTGCGCGACGACCGCGATGGATGGAGTAGCTTGTTTATGGAATTTGGGGGTTTGATTGGTTGGAAGTTGATAAGGTTGTGAGAGCTTGATTGATGGGCGCACCAATTGTTAAGATGGTGGACGGATAAATAAGCGGCGACGCGGGGATTGGATGAATCAATCACCAGTGAATATGCTGAGGGGGAAATTTCAGTATTAGCTTGGCGGTTGGGGGTTGTTCTTCGGCTCGCTCTCAAGAATTTTTATATGTTCAATGGAAACTTCATCTATGGAATGATAAAATGTTCAATTGAATTCATTAGATGGTTCCTTTGATATATATTATTATACTACTTCAATGATACAAGAACTATGTCATCTATGCAGGGTTTTTTGACAGCTCTTTCTTTCTCTTGTGCGTTGGCTCACCATATGAACAGGGCGAACAGTGAGGCAAGAGTGTAAGGCAAATTATGAGGCAAGACGAGGCAAAAGGTACATGGGGATTGGCACGACTGATGGATAAAGTAACGTAGGATTCGATTTATATATTTTACCGGCAGGAAAAGAAGCATGGAGAGTTCTAGTTGTAGTTCTAGAACTCTAAGAGTTGTAGACACTTCCCAGTAGTATTTCTTCGTGTGTCTTGATTTTTGCTTGTGCGACTTTACTGAAAGACTCAAAGTCACGAGCACGGATATTTTCATCTGGTAAGCTCCGTGATAGCTAAGCTAGGATTAGCTTAGTTTGCAGAAATAAATTTTAGGCGACTTTGATCCACCAGAACTATTTTATTTCTCTTAAAGCTCATCCAATCCTTCTCATCTTCATTCCAATTAATATCACCATCATCATCAAAGATGGCCGACAACGATCTTTCTGATGTTCAAATTGAGCAATTGTTGAAGGATGCTGAGGAGAGGATGAGAAATGCAAAGCAAGTCATCGTGAGCGATGATAGCTCTACCAAATTTTCTCTTCCGAAGTAAGTTTTGCCCACATTGCGACTTGTTCAATTTTGAGCTTGGCTGACATGTATCCTCCTTTACAGCCTTGGTAAAACTTCAACATCTGCAATCACTCCATACATCACATCGACAGGACACGTGGATGCCTCTCAACTTGTACCCGCCAAGGACAGAAAACTGGCCAATGGTGTGCGAACGGTGGAAGATCCAATTGTGACAAAAGCTAAAGCTGCAAAGGTAAGAAACCAATCTACTTTATCTCGCGCTGTGCCCTTCTGTGAGGAAAATTTATCCCATATAAACGGACGCAGGACCTGGCCCCGTCTTGGGCGTCAACCTGCACAAGCTGAAGACCTTCAATTCATAGTTACTCTGAGAAGAAGCCACTATACTAGTCTTTTGATACAATTTTTGGTTTTGAACAAGAAGCTAATATTATTATCAATAGGCAAAACAAGCTACTGCTGGAGCCAAGTGGTACAACATGCCTAAGACTGTGGTCACTCCTGAGCTCAAGCGCGACCTTCAACTCCTCCGACTCAGAAGCGTATTGGACCCCAAACGTTTTTACAAAAAGGATTCGGCGAGAGCAGAAGTTCCAGAGTACTCTCAAGTAGGCACAGTCATCGAAGGTCCCACTGAGTTCTTTTCTTCTCGCCTCACCAACAAGGAACGCAAACAGACCTTTGTCGAACAAGTCCTTGCGGGCGAGAAAGCAAACCACAAGTTCCGCAATAAGTACAATGATATCCAGGCTGCAAAGGCTAGTGGAAAGAAAGAGCATTACAAGAAGATGAAGGCATTAAGAAAGAGAAGATGAGCGCATTGAGAGGTCGGAAGACATCATGACAAGTCAACCTTCCAGACTTGATCACAAATTACAGGCACGCCTCTGACATGATCTCAATGTCGAACCTTGTATGCGCTACACATTCAAGAATTTCCCAACTTCGATCACAAACACATACCAAGCTATCTTGATGAATACCAGAGTCTTAGCCACGTTGCTACAGACGACTGTGTCTTGCAAGTTCTTTTTGCTATCATTTTATCGGTACGTTCAAATTTTTCTCTAAGCATTTCCTATCCCCCCATATGTTGTGATGAAAAACACAGTCAACAGTTATCCCTGTCTTAAAGAATACATGTGGATTTTATAATTAGACTCTGAACATATTACCATCCATATCCTTGGTCGTTTGATTTGGTTTCAAGAATTGTTACTAACAATTTCATCAGATATTCTCAGTAGGTACTGTACTAAGTGAGGTGGTCACAATCAAACTTTGACTTGCCGCCGCATAGCTTCACACGCAGTATATGCGGGTCAACAAGCAATGCGGTTGATCCTTCAATGACGAGTATACCCCCATGGGTTCTTCTCCTCTTTAGTGAGCAGAGTCGAGAATGCTCATGGCACTTCAAAAGCTAAGTCCGCTCTCATTTATTTTTCGATTGATTTGGTCATCCATCTAGCCATCTTCACATTTTCAGAATAAAGATGCAGCAACAGAACATGATGCCTTCATGTATTCTTCAGATACACTTGAGTACATAACAAAGAAATGAATAAATGAAGCTCGATCATAACTATCTATCATTACAAAATCCCATTGCTCGATGAATCTGTGACTGAGTGTCGTGACCCAGTGTCCTTGAAATTGTATCGCCCTCCCAAACTGTCCACAAACTAGAAATTACTAAAGAATAGACCTCAAACTTCCAGAAAGAGTGTGGTGTTGAAACGCCAATCTCTCTTCCTTAGGAGGACCTGCTGCGAGACAATAACTTCTCGACTTAAGCTTTACAATAGCCCCCCGCGATGCTATGTCGAAAGTACGACAACATATCCATTGCACCTTGTTTGTTCCAGGGGCTGCCTGTGGATTCTCCAAGCCCAAGTCTAGTGTGTATCATCAAACAGGCCAACGTTGGCTTTCCGAGACCGAACCGAAGTCTTACTCCACCTTTCAAAGTTAGCTGTCATTCTGTACCTAATTCATTCTATTATGATCATTCTCTCACCACACTCCCGTCGGGAGCTTTCTTGCGGATGATGTTACCGTTATTCTTTCTCCACTTGAACTTTATGACGATGTTGTTGTTCACTCGCTTGGCTTGCTGGTATGCAGAGGAGGGTTTGAAGGGAGTTTGTATAGCTACTGCTGATTTTTTGTCCGTGGTTGAGAATCTCACTTCCTTTTGTATGTTGGGTTTGGCGGGACACGGGGCCTTTTTCGTTTTGTAAGGGGATTATTAGGTTTCTTGCTGGCATTCATGGGTTTTTTTCTCTTTTATGTCAGGAGTGGAGGGAGAGCTTGTGAATTTTGTTTGTAGATTTCTTGTCGAGTACTCAGTTTATGTCTTAGTGATGATGCAGGGAATCATATCGTTTTTCTAAAAGTGTGGAAGGCCAATCTGCTTCGTGTCTATCACCTAGGAATATGGAATACGGAGAGGGTGTTATACCTTTTGGAAATGATGTTGAATAGTTCAAATAGAGAAGAGCGATACATTAGAACCTTGAGAGAGGTTTATGCTGGGGCCTACACCAAGATATCTTGAACTCAACTTTACATATTATGGAGATTATCATTGGGAAGGCAGGTGAGTAATATCTTTTCGAGGCGAGCTGTGGTTTGTGATCTTTATAACTGCTCCGCTTTCTAAAACAGAAAGCGACAACAATGAGGAAGGAAGATCGATGCTCTCTCGTAAAGTATAAGAAAGACTCTATCCACTCAGCAAAAACACGCAGGTACATCTGAAATGCGAAGGCCACTAACTTTTAGTCATTGTAGCATATATTTGGCTGTGAAAGTGTACGCAATAAAGTCTATATATTACTCACATTCCGCGTAACGACTGACACAGTCTCAGCTCTAGCTAGACGCTGTGGTGAGGCTTAATAAGCTCTGTACATGAAGGGAGCTCGACTCACATATATTTGCCGAACTAGGAAGATACACATATGGAATCAGCGTTAAGATGAAATCTGATATCGGGCTCTTCTTATTCACAGTGGAGTGGGTAAACGTTCAAGGGGCAGATCGTCGAACGACAGCCCAAGCCCAGAAATTTCAATGACGTGAACGGACACCCTCAATATACTTTTAAGATTAGCTCCTCCCGGATGTCCATCATCCACCTACTTCAGATATCTGGAAACGAGGCGTGTTTATCGACGCCAACATCCTTACAATTTCAAACAAGAAATTCGAGAAATGTTGCAGTTCAATGAATCAGATATTGACAGAGATTTCCTGGAGGAAGAAAGAGGCACGTTAGTAGTAAATGAAAGATAACTAAGGAAAGCGTTGTGGGGTAATCCATAATCGAGGAATCTCTGTCAAGTCTTTGCTTAATGCTCTACACCAGCCGGTGCAATGCTAAAAATATCGTTCAGAGATTTATGAAGAAGCGTGTCAATCACCTTGTGCACTAGCAGTGAGGTGTCACCGTCAGCATCATGTCTGAAGAATTTCTTTCGATCCTTCCAACACCAGAGCAGTTGATGTAGGTTTCGTAAACACACTGATACTTTACTTGTCCAACTACTTGGACGCCATATTCTCACCGTCTAATCTGATCTATAAAGCTTACATAGAATATATAATCAAACTGAAAATGTATTAAGGGATGCCCATTTGCCACTTAGCTTAGGCGTCGATTAGAAGGTATGATGCAGACTCTCGAAATAAACGTAACTCGAGGGTCAAAATTCCCCAGACAGTTTACTTGTAAGAAGCGCCTATAACCCACTGAATTACTTATTTTCTGTTGCCTCTCGGCCATCCGAACTCTCAAGGTCAAATGAGTTGAGCGGTGATTTCACCTGTTAACGTTGTAATTTCATGGTGCTGGCCCCCGGTGAGCTTGGAATTTGCTCCCGGTGAGCTCAATTGACAGGAGTAATTTTGGGTGTTGGCAAGCTTGATTAGAAGATGCCTATAACTTTCCTCTAAATCAATTACTATTGGTAGTATCTAGACATGTATATGATTGCAAGACCTATTGTATTCCATTCTTCAGATGAGAACAATGCCCTGAAAATAGTGAATGAACATGAAGATGGTTGAACCTGAAAGTGCCTCTCGGATAAACATCGGCTTTAGATATCCGAACCTCAAATTATTCGATATCATAGAACTCTACCCAAAAAGTACAATTTAACATTTCTCATAACTTTGAGCCAGGCATGGCTACTCCAATTTTCACGCGCATACCATGGCGCACAGTCAGTAGGCTGGGAGCATCGGTATGTCAATGAAACACTTTACTGCGCAAGGAAGGAACACAATTGACAATATTCGCAGGCAAAACCAGTCTTCTCGAATGCCTTCAAAACACCACAATGTGCGGTTGCACCATTCACATCACAGTCTGTTAGATATGCATCGAATAAACCGTACGCACTTTCAATTCAACTATTGGAGCTTGAAGACTAACGATCTTCCAGTGATGCACCAGAACCTGCTTCTGCAGGAACAGCCTCGATGTATTTACCTCGATATTCTCATAGATTGGCACTATCTAACCAGTCGACAGAACTCCATCCACAGCAGAGCCTGCCGCCGAGGAACCCTCCGACGAAGATATCTTCAATGTCCGTTACCCCCGTAACGTTCAAGCAATCTACCTCAAGCCCCTCCGCCGCGAAGCCAAATATGGAGTCCCCTCATGCGATCTCCAACTCCGATCTTACAGTATTCGTAACCTAGAGTTCTTTTCCGACTTCGCTCTCCGCGCTGCATATTATCTCAAATTACCTGCATATGGACCTGTGCCGCTGCCTAGAATGATAGAGAGATGGACTGTACCGAGATCGCATTTCGTTCATAAGAAGAGTCAAGAGAATTTTGAGAGAAAAACGTTAAGGAGGTTGATTCAGATCAAGGATGGACACCCAGAGACCGTGAGCCTGTGGTTGGCCTTTTTAAGGAAACATGCGTACTATGGGATAGGAATGAAGGCGAATGTTTGGGAGTATAATAAGATTGGTGAGTTCCTTCTTGCTTTGGGTGGGGATGTTACTAATATATGCGTGAATAGGCGTGGGTAAAGCTATGGATGCTAGTATGGAGGAGATGAAGGAAGTTATGGAGCCACAGTGGGAGTTGTTTGGTAGAGGACAGAGTACTAAGACTGCGGATAAGGTTATGGAGATTTTGAATAGGGAGAGCTTCAAGGCGGCTGCGGGAGGTAGCGCCCCTGGTATGAGGGTCGAGCCATGAAGTGGGCTTGCTCGAAAGTCATGAAAACATCCAACAAGGATTTGACGAATGAAAAATAGATATCAAAAGGGAATACAAATGGCCACACATGAATTGTGGAGGTTGGGTCAGGTCTTGATGTATGATATGTATATGTAGAAGTAAATGAATCAAGACACTAGCACCAATGGGTTTTATCGAGGAAATGTCATTCCGCATCAGAATTCACCACTAATATGAAAGTTTATTCGTTCCAAAATTGCATATTGAAATCGAGATTAGTCACGTGCCCTATAAAATCAAATTTCACGGCAGATCATCCCATTCGCATCTCGCGTGCAGCTACCCCTCCTTTTTCAATCGCCTCCCAAAGCCCCCCAAGCCCACCATGCTTAAACGCTACCCACCCCGGCAGGCGCTTCAGAATGTGAAGTCACGGATTCTGCAAGTCGCCGCCCCCCTAAATCATGTGTCCAAACGACACCAAAGCACCCAGCAATCCTCCCCGTCCAAAGTAATATTTTCCGGTATTCAGCCCACTGGAATACCCCATCTCGGAAACTATCTTGGGGCACTACAAAATTGGGTGCGGCTACAGGATACAGCGGAATCGAGTACGAAGTTGTTTTACTCGATTGTGGATTATCATGCGATTACGATACCGCAGAAAAGAGAAGAGCTGAAGCGGTGGAAGAAGGAGGGTTTGGCAACGCTCTTGGCAATTGGATTGGATCCGGAGAGGAGTACGGTGTTTTATCAGAGTTCTGTAGGTGCTGTGTTGTTTCTATTCGGTATTGTGGGAGCGACAACGTGGTGAGAGGTCAGGGTGTAACCGGGGATTTGGTTTGATTGGTAGTGAATGAAGCTGATTTTTGCATGTCTGAAGGTTGCAGCGCACACGGAATTGATGTGGATATTGAGCTGCACGGCTTCGATGGGATATCTGTCTCGTATGACACAATGGAAGGTTTGTCTCTGTCTCCCTGCCGCAGATTTTTACATACTTCACTTGGCCCTTTCACTGATACGCAACAGAGTAAATTATCTCTCGAAGATGACGCTTCACCATTAGATGGTGGCAATAAATCTAAGCTCAAGTTGGGCTTGTTTTCGTATCCAGTCCTGCAAGCTGCGGATATTTTGGTTCATAGGTATGCACCACAGGAGGCATCTACTCATTCCATCACATTTTCTTCGACATTTGTGTCATTTAGCCTGGAAATCGAAGCTGATAATATACAATGGAAGAGCAACCCACGTTCCCGTTGGCGAAGATCAAACCCAGCATCTGGAATTCGCCCGTGAATGCGCTACAAATTTCAACCATGCATACGGGCCCCATCTCATTGCACCTCAGACCCTCCTTTGTAAGTGTCTATTTCTATTCTTCATACCATCACTCTTCATATAATTTCTTCCTTCAGAAATCAGTTTTCTTTCTATTACTAACACATCTCCAGCCCCAACAAAACGCATAATGTCTCTCCAATCCCCCACCCAAAAAATGTCCAAATCGCACCTCGCCCCTATCTCCCGCATCGTCCTGACTGACTCACCCGACACCATTACCAAAAAGATCTCGTCCGCTCTGACTGACTCCCAAAACGCGGTTTCTTATTCACCTTCTGAGCGCCCTGGCGTTTCTAATCTTCTCACACTATGGTCATCATTCGATACCCAAAATCCAAAACGAACACCTGCGCAAATAGCCAAAGAATGCAAGGCAAAGAAGTTTACTTTGGGAGACTTGAAGCGGGAGACTGCCAATTCGGTGAACACAGGATTGGAGCCAATCAGAAAGAATTATGAGAGACTGTTGGGGGATGAAGGGTATGTAGAGGATGTAGCGAGGAAGGGAGGTATTAAGGCGAGGGAAAATGCAGAGAAGACTATGGTTGAAGTTAGAGAGGCGGTGGGATTCTAGATGGGTTTGAAGTGAGTGAGCGTAAATGTTTGTATTGAAAAGGGAAAGATGCAAAAGTTATTCATGTGTAAGGACGAGACTCTCTTGGCATGAAAAAAAAGAGAAGATAGAATCACCTCTCTGTATTATATTAACATAACGAACAATACACCAGCTATACATCACAAACTTCACTTGACATTTGCAGTCCTCTATCCCTTCCTCGATCGACTCTCACAAATTCCTCTCTCCGTGCGTGCTTCAGGCTTTCCCGACTTCAATTGACCTCACCTTCACTCGCCTCCACTCACTCCCACAACTCCCCTCGTCAACTTCAGACGACATTACCCAAAAAATACATTCACTCTCACTGCAAACAAGAAACTACCCACCAACAAAACAGCAAAACAAAACAAAATAGCAAAAAACCGGTCTAGGGGGAAAAACCCCTCTCTGAGGAGGGATTTTTATTTCGCAGCTATGCCCTTCGATATGGGGATAGTACAGTCGCTGCTCAAACACCAACACCCACCCTTTCGGGTGGTTAAAGCGCAGTGGTCGACCAACTGCGCCAGGGCGACGCGATGTGGTGTTTGATGACCGAAAGTTAGTAGCGGTTTTTGGATATATATATCTATAGTGCATGTATTTGGGATATGTTCATGTAGGTGAGTACTTGTACGCGAGATTGGTGGGTAGGTATATTGGATGTTATGTTCTTAAGGAATGTATCTTCTTGTGGAGGATGTTGAACCTTTGTTTTCGGTGTCTTGTCTTTGATGTTGCACATCCATTGCATTTATCTGGGATTTCTAACCATGTGTTTGAATATGTATTCCAATTCAAGATAGATACGCGCAGTGTTACCATGATCCAGGTCTCGCGCTCATTGTTCCTCCACCCACTATCCCAGAACATCTCACAAAGCACCAACTCTTCACCTGATTCCATTTCCATGATGAAAGAGACGTCATACCGAACATCAAAGCAACAGCGCCATGAAACCATCTCACAGATGCTATTGTCTAGATCATACTCGACCTACTAACCTTTACTTCTTGTCCTCCTCCATCTGATGTACATGGTTCAATCTGAAGCGGTAGACGGCTCCGATCCGCAACATTGCAACGCTTTCTATCAACAGGCGCAGGAATCCACAGTACGCCTCAGGACTCGTTGAGACACTATCAAGCAATTCCTCGAGTGCTAAGAAAGCCTACATTCTGAGAATATTTTAAAAGACTAGTAACCAGCAACCAGCAGGTGGTGAATGTATTTGAGAGCTCGTCCTTCATCAGAAGCTATAACGAATTCCACGTGAGAATATCTCCCAAGTCTTATGATTTCAGTTCTTGCAGTCTTCCGTCGGGATTGGTCTCATAGATATCATCATATCGCACTGCACAACAGTTCATACCCAAATTGGAAGCAATGAGATCTCTGATTTTATATTTGATATCTATCACCTGCTCCCCATTCATAAGATGCATCTTCTAATCAACGCTCTCAGATCGTATAACTTTTATGTTTATTGGAATTGCCCGTCCGGCTTTTCATTAATCCTCAGCGCTGGCATCTAATGTCTTTATTTCATCCGCTCGTTCAAAGCTAAACTCTATTTAGACTGTCATATCCTTCAACTTCTCCGCCGCCTCAGCTGGAGTAGCACCAACGGGTGCGACCTTTGGTTTTGGTGCTTTCTCAACCTTACCCTTTGCTTTTTGGGATGTAGTATCTTTGGGCAATTCCTTGGAGAAAGGAATGAATTCAGGGGCGCCAGGGAGATATTTGCGGAGCGGTTCTGGAACATTGAACCCCTAATCATAGTCAGAAAATAGGACCAAAAAAACATTATTCTTTCTACTTACTTCTTCAGTTTGGAAGTTCTCCAAAAGACAGCACAACGCACGCTCAGTTGCACACAAAGTAGAGTTGAGTGCATGGACGTAGTTCTTACGAATTCCAGTTTGTGTCTTGGGCCCATATCTGATCTCAAGAGCTCTGGATTGGTAATCTGTGCAATTTGAGCAAGAGACAAGCTCCTTGTATTCTCCTTGGAAAGGGAACCAAGCCTCGAGATCATATTTCTTGGCAGCTGCGTTATTGAGAGCACCCGAGACGATTGCGACAACTCTGTATGGAACACCTAAGGATTGGTAGAACTCCTCTGAGAAGCTGATCATACGGTCAAACTCCTCCCATGACTTTTCTGGGTCGCTGAGAACGAATTGCTCGATCTAAAATGGTTAGAAAAAGCGGATTGAACTCATGCTACAAAGAATATTTACCTTCTCAAATTGATGAACTCTGAAAATTCCCCATGCGTCCCTACCGTGAGAACCAGCCTCTCGTCTATAACATGAAGAGAAACCAGCATATCTTTGAGCTTAAGTCAGTTCAATATCTTTTCGCCCAGATTTTCCTTACGTACCTAATAGGCATATCCTTGGCAGTCAACCACTCATCAGCATGGAAAGCTGAAATTGGCTGTTCAGAGGTAGCAATAAGATATTTATCGTTTTGAGCATCTCCATCAACAACCTTGTAAAGTTCCTCGTCGAATTGCTCCAACTGTGCGGTCTTCGCCATGTATTCCTTCAACATAAATTGAGGGGTCTGTAATGGTGTATATCCCTTGCTATCCAAGAACTCCAAGCCATAATTGATCAAAGCCTGATTCAAGAAGACACCCCACTTCTTCAAGAAATAACCTCTGTGTCCTACAACCTTAACACCGCGCTCTGGATCATAACCATCCAATCTTGTCAGAACCTCATGATGCGAAAGAACGTCCTTCTTCTCAACAGTGACACCTTGGGGGGCCCATTTACGCAGCTCTTCGTTGTGATCCTAGTACCCATTAGCCACACCGGACCTGAAGAACCTCGTATGCTGCCATATAAAAATACCTCGTCGTTGTTCACAGGTACAGATTCGTGAACAAGGTTACCAATTGTGCCAATCTTCTTGTTTAGAAGTACTTCTTTCTCTGCTGCAGCGTCATCCCAAGTCTTCTTCTCCTTCGTTAAATCGGCTTTCTTTTGTAATAATTCGGTAGCATCCTCCTTGGCCTTCTTTTTTGCGCCAATCTCTTTTTGAGTTTCGTTGATCTTGCTGTTGACCTGTGTAGCTGCGTACTGGGCTGCGATAGTTTGTGAGTATTTATATACTTGGGCTTGTGTTTACTGGCTTACTTTTGCGGTGATCCTCATACATAGCAATCACTTCATCAACAACCTCTTCGGGAGCATATCTGCGGCGCTGAGAGTCCTTGATCTTTTGTGGGTTTCCACCCCTCTCAGTAATGAAATCGTTAACGTCAAGCATTTTGAAAATAGTTTAGCACACTCGAATATGTATGCGACGAGGAATCCTGTGTGTTTGGGCCGGTCAACTTTTTGAGTCACTAGTAAATTGTTCAAAGTACGATTGGTGGGGTCGCGATTGCAAGGCTCCGCTAAGATAACATTCTGGCTGATTGTGCTCAGCACGTGATATGTGTTTTTGTCATTCACTACCCCTTTTCGCACTACCACTCCGGCGGGCCTTGTCGCCTGGCATTGCTTTGCATGTTGAATCTGTGTTTAATACCGGCTAATCATGGTGTTGTACAGATCTCTTCAATGCAATCTATACAAGACTAACGTGTTGGGACAGACAGTTAATACCGTTTAACGTATACCATTAAGTCGATCGTAAACTACCTCCTTGTAATATCAACGTTAACTGAAGACATAGCAAGACATATGCCTCTGTGACTAAATATCTAGAAAGATGCCTCTCCTAACTCCAAACTCCCATACTAAGTTAACCACATTCAGACATGAGACATCATATTCCAACGTATACTCCAATCCCTTTGTCCCTCACATGAGAATACATTTGGAATCTCCTGAAGGCTCATTGGGGTTTTCACCTTTCTCAATTTGCTCAATCATGAGTTCGAATCCCTTGGTAACATTCTCGTTATAACGTGCACTTGCTTCTGTGAAAGCACACTTGATTTTCTCAGCCAATGCCTTGCCTTGTTCAGCAGTGACCTGACGCTGCTCTGGTCGGAGATCACTCTTGTTACCAACAATTGTGATTGGAACCCATTCAGTACCCTATAAAGTGTTAGGATCTTGATCTTTGAAGGAAGTTAGAGTAGAATTGTAATTTCTATCATACCAAGTGATTCAAGATCTTATCCTTAATGACTTCTACCATTTCAAAGGATTGCATGGAAGCAACAGAATAGACAAGCACATAGCCATGAATACCAATGAAATGCTTTGAATTTAAGATACTGTATTCATCCTACAATGTGAATTCTATTAGTCGTTTTTGCAACTACGTAATGACATGTGATTTTGAATCAAATAGTACACAAGTAGATGGATATCTTACCTGACCAGCTGTGTCAACGATCTCAGTGGCGAATTCTTGCCCTTTGTACTTGATGACCTTGCTGAAAGTATTTTCAATAGTCGGATAATAACTTTCTACGAAGTGACCATCGACAAATTGTACAGTAAGTGAAGATTTGCCTGTAGAAGAGAAGGGTTACTTTGATGTGTTGTATTTTACATCACGCATTATAATGACATACCGACAGATCGACTGCCTACAATAGCAATCTTGCGTTGTTTAGGTGGTGCAGGCATAATGAAGAAGATATGATAATTTCGAATAAAATAATAGGAAAAGAAGGTTCTTGTAATTGAACACAAGGAGAGCGAGATATGGAAGAGCTTTTGATGTTTTTGTTTTGTTGGTTCTTGTCTGATGAAACAGGACAAGGCTGAGGAGGTTATAATTAAGTTGAAAGTAGACCGACCAGTTTATTAGTGCTTCAATGGGTTTTAAGTCCAAGGTTCTTACAGCGCCTGAGCGCTAATATTTAGGCTGAGCGGACCCAGATTAAGCTCGGCTCGGAAGACGACACCACCCCAAGTCGATAGATCAAAAGACTGGAAAGAGTATGAGAGGAGCACCGAGTAAAAGTTTAATAGAACGATTAAATTTATATGAATCCAGACTTGTGTTATGTTTCAATCAGAAACTGAATCTGGGTCGAAAATATAAGAGGCTTCTTTCTTGAATAGTATAAGGCCGTTCCAAGAATTGGAAGTTTGGGCAGAATGTCATTTCCTGGTGTGGATTTGATCATCAACTACAGTGCTTGACATTCAATGGTACTTGCTGTCATGTCATTCCAGACCGGAGCCCATCGCCCGAGTTCGACCTCATCACACGTCAAACACGTTCAAACACATAGTAGGTGAGCCGAATGGATTACTCGTTCTGAATCTGCCACGACAACACGTAGAATCAGATGAGCCGACTGCTAGATGACAAAATATCTTCATGTCTTTAAATCTATAATAAATGTGGTAATAGTAATGTGTTGTTTGGGTAGCCAGAGATTAATCGTGAAAAACCAGCTATACCCTATGTATATTCTCGATTAAAGGAACCCCAATGTCATAATTTCCTGAAACTTCCCCCTTTCTCCTTTCCCGCCCATTTCGAATCAACTGCACCTAGGGTATATTGCAATTATTCTTTCCGATTTAAACGCCAAAAATATATTATCATGTATCAAGACATCTGTATCATATCCATTGTAACCCATTATACTCGTGACAATCGTCACCCCATCAAACGCCTTTCTCGACCGGCCTCCCTAAAGACCTTTTTATATTCGGCTTTAAGCCCCTTTGATCGTCAATAATTTTTGGACGAGATCTTCGAGTTGCTTCGTCACAGTAACGTGAGGACTGTGTCCATCTTCATTGGGAGCAATCTCATCGTCAGCCGCTTTATGATAAACGATAAATTCATTAATAGATGTAATGAGGGGCCGAAGTGTTTTTGTTGTCTGTCGCATCCGAATCCGTTTCTCGATGGCCGGCAATAAACAAAAGTGTCCCAACAATACCGACAAGTATCCAAACGGAACGTTTTTGTGTGATTCGTGCTGAGAGTCCACCTATCAAAGTTAGTATACCGGAATGAGAACTCTACGCAAGAACTCACCTCAAAGGTTTTCTCTCTGTTATCTACAAAAAGGCGGATCAATTCATCCAGAGGGTCCCTGCCCGTCCCAGCAAAATCATTGATATTTTGAAGCGCTTTTGTGCTCCACAAGGCAAAATTGATCATCGCTCCAATGAGAAGGATCAAATTATCCACAGCCACGACGATTTCCTCTTCCGCCCATAAGCTTGACATGCTTTTGAATTTGGCAACGATGATGCGAAGAATGGTGAACATGAGATCCGAGTCCACAATTGCATCGCAAGCTTTCGGGTTGTGATTGGTGACATTCACTGTCAATTTCAATGCCAAAATTTGTTGCTCGCCAAAGCTCTCAAGTGGCCGATTCAAAGCGGTATTGAGGGTATTGCCTATGATAGGCAGCAATTGATGAATCCAAATGGTCTCATCTTGGGCGATTCTCGATACAAGAGAGTGAGATTCAAGAGTGGAGAGTGTCAAATAAAAGTTGACTGCTTCTATTCCGTGGGGGAAATCCCACGCGGCATCCGAGTTTGACAATTTTAAAATCTCAAACAAACTGGTATTCAGCTCTTCAGAAATTATGTCACTAGCGTCTCCAGCTTCTCTACATTGCCTGACCATAAGCTCAAGGCATTTTAGGGCCAAGGTTCGAGGGGAGAGTTCACATGGGCTAAGATCCTTCCATACTGGAATTGCAAGCAGAGAATCATGATATGCTGCCATTGATTTCTGTGCCATCTTGGACATATTTGTCTTACGCTCCTTTATCACACTGACAAAGCTTTTCTCAACCGATATGAGACGGCCGAGTAGCTTTGCAATACCTTGTTGTTGAAGTTGCGATACCACGAGAGGCGCGCTTCCCTCTGCCAAAATAGGCGTGATGAGCGATGTCATCAAAAATCCCGATACGATATCAGTTTCTTGACCTATGTCGATAAATAGTCGCTGTTCAGCACCATGGGCACGGAATTGCCGAACAAATGCTTTGTCCTTCATTTTCAATCCAAGGTCTAAAAGACCGGAGCGTCGCATAGACGACAACTTTATGGAAGGCCTCCCAATACGATCGAGCAAATCTTCTACTTCATCCGCAAAGCGACTATTCGCACCCGCTTGCCTTAGTTCATGAATCGTGCGAATAGCGGTACTTGCGGCTTCATCTTCTTGCTGCTCTTCCTCGCGAAAGCTTGATAATGGCTTTAGGCTGGGTATAGAGCCTCGGCGACGCTGTGAGCTTTGTGGAGTTTCTAGAGGCATGTCAAAAGCCAATTGCTCCATCATGTCTTCTTCAACAAGCATAGAACGCTGTCGACTATACGTAAACTTGGGCCCTGCGATTGGGGGTCCTTGACTAGCTTGTGCAGGTGCAGTAAAAGTAGGGACTTCTGGGGCAAGACTCTGGGCTCTTGAATTGTTCAAATGTTGGAAGTGATCCTCAAGCTGAGAATTATCATGCTCGTTCCCAGATTCATCATCATCATCGTCTTCATCGTTCAAATTTTCGCGAGGTGTCTGCTCGACTAATGAGTCGATTAGTCGTTTGCGAGGAGTTAGGTTAGCCGGTTTTGCAAAAGCCGCAGTTTTAGATAACTTTCTAATAATTGGGTACACTCTCTTCGGCGTACTCACGACTAAAGAGAGCTCATCTGCACTACTCATCGTGGTTTCTTGAGTTTCGTTGTCGAGGGCATCCCATAGCTTCGTAGCCTTGGGAGAGATGTGACGCCCAGGACTTGTAGCTAACCGTAAGCTCGCAGCACTGCCGGTAGAGGCAGAGGATCTTGGTCGTTGCTGCGCCTGCGTTTTATTACTCTGCTTCTGTAGACCTCGATGTACTGCTGGTTTGGTCAGGATAGACTCCATAACAGGCTTAGCATGAACGACCTGTCGTTTTGGTAAAGTGTCTATACTTGGTTTGGCTTGCCTAATTTTAGGATGTGGTGGCACCTTGGGCAAAGTTGTTGCAAGTTTAGAAGGCTCCCGTCGCGGCTGTTCAGCTGGTGATAACTTTCTCTTCTTACGCTCGGGCATTTCCACCGACTTAACATTCGCGGATTCTGTTGTTATGGAGTGCTTCGCGTTTCCAATGGCCGATTGCTTTTGCGTAACATTTGGTAGTAATTTGGAGAGATTCTTCCTCGCCGCGGGGGGCTCATCATCCTCGCTCAGTGGCACATCATATATGGTAGAAGTTTGCGAAGGCTTCTGTTTTAGTTTGGGAGCGTTCTTCCGCCTCGTAGCTTCATCCTCTTTATTGCCCAGAGGTACGTCGCACATCGCAGATTTCCCTTTAAGTTTCGGTGCAGATTTGGTAACGTTCTTGCGCATTAAAAGAGGTTCCTCTTCATCGCTGAGGGGCACATCGTATAAGTCGACAGTAGACTGTATTTTTAGAGCAGAAGCTGTGCTAGGTGAAGGCTTGTAGACATCGCGAGGTCTTTCATGATTCGATGCACTGGGCTCATTGTTTGTAATGAGACCTGTCTTTGTTAAATCGGAAGGTGTTGTGCGATGGACCAGTTTTGTATAGCTATGACCTGCAAGATGTTTCCTTGCTGGCTTTCCATATGTAGTTATTGTTTTCCGAGGCCTCGCCATATTTTCATAGGCCGCCATGCTGCGCGGGGGAAATGGGTAACTCGGGAAATGCAAAGGTGAATCTGCACATCGAGTGTTGGAAATGCCACTGTCGCAAATCAATTATTCAACAAGATGTCATTTATATATGACCTTGAGTGGTACGGCCTTGAAGATATTCAACTGCCGAAAGTGCCTTTGTGAGAAAGTGGTGGTTGCTACAACCGTTGACGGAAACGTTTGTAGATTTGAATTGATCAATTATGAATGGAATGTTCAAAGCAATGATTACCAGAGCACTCGAGGAAAGAGCACTAAGATTACCTAAGGATGCTACCGGGAAAACGTTATTCCGACCCCACCCAAACGAAAGTGAATGTTATTGGAAGAAAACTAACAGTCATTGTTCTCCAGCTCAGACTGTCTTCACGAATTGAAATCCTAAACATGCTTATTAGTAAATATACCTGAGGATAGAGGGCTGTTTTCTTGAGGAAAATATCGGATTCTGTTCTAATGTTTACGATTTTCCTATAGCCATTGATTGACAACCTTGTGAACCTTGTGTACTGTTACCTGCCTAGCAGTACTAGGTAATTCTCCGCAAATTGACAACCTTATATTGATTGGAGTTTAACGTCAACTACTGATTTCTTTCCTGCCAACAACAAAAGTTTTTCTCTTCACCAGGTAATAAGCAATATTAGTTCTTGACCCATTCCAGTTGTGAAGCAGTCTAGAATATCTATTTGTATCTACTTTGAAAACAGTTTGTCATAGAATTGGAATAGCACCTACTCTTCAGAGCCTGCCAAGACAGTTCCTGTTCTTATCGGCTATCAGTTTATCTACCCATCCGCACACTGCATTTCGCTTTGTACCGGCCCCACGAGAAATCATACGGAGGGCTCCGCAGAGTTGTGAACTAGATTCTTGCAGCTCTGTGTTGTAGCATTTCGAGCAATAACCAGCAGGATTTCCTTGAGGTGAGTGAATGAACAAGCTTCTTTAGCTACTACCTTTATAAAGCTACAAAATTATCACTAAATTGACCACTCACTAAAATAGCGAGAAGAAGCTCATCATCAATCTCGACTGTGTGCTCCATTGAAGCTCTACCCCTCAGGAAAATTGACAGCAAAATGTCTTCCGAATCTGTAGAAGGTGTTAAATCACCCGCACAAAGTGTCGGTCCTGATTATCGCCCCGAGAAACCTGTTGCAACCGTTTCAACTCCAGTCTCCTTCGAGAATGTTCACACATTACCTCAAACCCCGCAGCTTATTGCTCTTCTCACGTACGTCATTGAACTATTGCACGTACCCATACCACATGCTTACCTCGAGTGATATAGCATGATCCGAGACAAGAACACGCAGCGAGCCGATTTCATATTTTACTCGAACCGAATCATTCGTTTACTGGTTGAGGAAGGTCTCAATCATCTACCAGTGGTAGAGCACACGATCACTACCCCAGTTGGTCGAACATATGCAGGAGTCCAATTTCAAGGAAAAATATGTGGTGTGTCCATCATGAGAGCTGGTGAAGCTATGGAGCAGGGACTACGGGATTGCTGTCGTTCCGTGCGAATTGGCAAAATATTGATACAAAGAGACGAGGAAACTTCGTTGCCTAAGCTCTTCTATGACAAACTTCCAGAAGATATTGCACAACGTTGGGTGTTGCTTCTTGATCCAATGTTCGCCACAGGTAAGCCACCCCCCAAAGACTCGAATGGTGCTATTCTGATGCTTGAATTAGGGGGATCCGCATCAATGGCAGTAGACGTTTTGATCTCTCGAGGAGTTCCAGCAGAAAGAATTCTGTTCTTGAACTTGATAGCAAGCCCAGAGGGCATCGAGTCCTTCGCTAAGAAGTACCAGAAGGTTAGAGTGGTAACGGCATTTATTGATCAGGTGGGTTTTCACTTATTGCATTCTTCTCGATGTGCACAACTCAGCTAACATGATGATAGGGTCTCGACGAAAAGAAGTATGATTCTCACCGGATAGTACTGAATTTTGCTAATGTCCATCTAGTTATATTGTCCCTGGTCTTGGTGATTTTGGCGATAGATTCTATACCATGTAGAAGGTCTGGGTTTCAATGTCTCCTTAATATCTTAGCTATCTACCAAAAGAAGAAGAAAAAAATAACAATATCCGTTGGTGTATCCAATCAATCTGTCACTTGTACCAATATGTTTTGCAACCAAAGAGGTGATGATTTCAATCCGTTTATCAATCGCAGGGCAAAACCATGTGAAGAGCTTCGCCAACCGTGAGCCTCCCAAACTCCAAACAGTAAAATTATCACAACCCAAGCCAAAAATCCCAAGCTCAATAATCCTCATCGTCCGCAACTATTCCATCGCCACCGTAACCGCCCATCCCGTCCTCGTCCCCCATTATGTCGTCATCATTGTCATCGTCATCCGCATCGCCCTTTCCAGCAGCGCCAGATGAACGTCGAGCAGGCGCGCGTTCGGGGGCAAGATCTCCTCCATCATCTCCTTCTTTTGCGACTGCATCGCAAGCATCAACCCAATCGGCATATACGTCCACGGAAGCCGACAGATCTGTATGCGGGTCAAAATTAGGTTTGCATGATCCTCTACCAGACTTCCTTTGTTGCAGAAAACTTACAGTTGATGGCGCATTGGAATTTTTGGTCGCATACTTTGCAGGACAAGTGACCAACACCAGCTTTCTTATCAATCTTCACGATGACCGAGTTTTCGTGATTACAAAACAGGCAGGGGAAAGTTGTACTAAGAACTTCTTTCTTTGCAAGTTGTCAGTATATGTCGCAACTCAGAGAGAATCGGGAAAGTTGCGAAAAATGCTGTACCTTTTTAGGACCCTGGACCTTCTTGGCTGCCTTACGTTTACCCTAACGCATGGATTAGAAGCTTGTAACGCGAGAGGTTGAAGATTGATATTTACTTACCATTATGCTCTTTGAAGTTCTTTAAATTTGGCTAGGAGTAATGATAAGGTATGTTTAAGAAAATGCAGTGGGACTCAAGCGCGGCTCGGAAGATGTAAAGACGCGACTGCTAGCCTGTGCTGCTAGTTTCTAAGCGTCACAAAGCTTTGGGAGCTCGGGGGATCTTTTTAGGGTCAGGCTGATTGCTGGGTTTGTTCTTATAATTTGATACCTTATTTGTATGGGCATGGGCTTATCGATAGCGATATCACTCCCTTGAAAGAAAATTTGAGAAAATTTAGGAAGCTGCCGATGATGTAGGTACTGGTAGGTATGGTGAGTGGGTGGATATGGCTTACTTGTATTAACAAAGATGGGTTTTTGATTTAATAGGGGTTTGGATTTGATACAGATTTCATCAGGATTATAAATTCTGACTCAAAGTTGAGGAATCAATAGGTATATATCAACAGCACGAGGGCTCAATTGAATCAATGCTATATACCCGTGGACATGCTAGCTAGAATGACTGAATCAACCACTACGGCAGATATCTCTTTGAGACTTTAATAAGCACGGGCTTTCTTGGTAAATTGTGAATGGTAAATTGTGAATGGTAAATTGTGAATGGTAAATTGTGAATGATAAATTGTAAATCATAAATTGTAAATACTAAATTGTAAATCGTCAGTTGTAAATCATAAATCATAACTCGTAAATCGTAAATTCATAGTGCAAGTCCCTTCCTTCTTTATACTCCATAGTGGGGCTGATAGACCTACCTGGGTATCGTGCTATCTTAGGTACAGCCAGCCCAATTCTGACAGTGGACAACAGCTTTATAAAGGAAGTGAATGATAGCAAAGCAATCATTATTACCACAGATACCAGCCAAATATGACCAACTAGCATACAACTTTCATCAATCTGTTCCCACTTTCTCTCAATCTATCCATCGATCCGTCTATCTATCTCCTTCCTCGTATCATCAATGAGAAAGAGGAAAGTCACTTTACCATTTTTGTTATTCACATAATACGTGTTCTTGTGCCTTCCTTTGGAGAGCTATCTAACTAACTGCCTACTACCTACCTACCTAGTAGCTATCTGACAAGCAAACAATACCAACCCGCCGAATCCCATTTACCCCTCATCTTCCATTTATAAGATCTGCTTGCTCCTCTTTGCAAATTAACTGAAATCATTTACTTTCCTCTCAAACCTGTTCCTTTTTGAAATCCATCACATCCCAAAGCTGCCTTCAAAGATGTCTTCCCCGCCTCCTGATCAGACCGCTTTAATGCAGGAGATCCTGAATTCCATCAAAAATCTACAACTCAACCAGGTCCAGCTGTCATCCAACGTCGATGCTATTACTGGTCGTGTCAATGTCTTAGCTGGCATGAAGGAAGTTCGAGATGTTGCTTCTACTGATTCAGCAACTACCTCCAAACCTTCCGAGCCCGATGCAAGCAATGATGAAAGTGCATCCAAGGATGAGAATGAAGCGGAGGTGCCCAAGTCTCCAACAATCTCGGCGGCGAAGCCCGATGAAGCACCCATTCCTTCTTATACCCAAAAAGCAAGCACCGGTACTTCTCGAATCATTCTCACGTGAGTTTCTTTGAATGCACGTAGGGAATGGAAACATTTATACTAAATTATGATATAAGTACATACCCTGGACAATCCGGTATCAATCCACTTCCTATGGAATGGGGTCATAGCGACCCGCAAATCAGAGGACCGGTAGTTGTTTCTAGAGCTACAGAAACAGCCCGAAGACGTAACGGTAAGTTTGTTCGCCATTTCACAGATTGTTCGTATACTAACTGTTTGTCTTAGCAATTGGAGGTATGTTTTGGTTGCCTGCTAATAACTCGTGATGTAATCTGATATTAGACATTCATAGCTCACGGTGGATCCTATTCGATATACTATGCTTTGGCCGTTGCTAGCAAGGAAATCAAGGCAGACCATAAGTAGGCTTCAAACAATCTGTATCTTATATGTAAACAAATTAACAGATTCAAGGCCAGATTTCACAAACACAGAACCTGCCGCCAATATTGGACCCTTCCCTCAATGGGCCGACAAGAAAAAGATAGTATCGATGGATCCTTTGGGCCATCTCGCTCCATGGCTCTTCAAGGACACAATTGAGAAGGAGAATGGTAAGTAGCCCCCAAATGAGGGCATAAAGTAGCTTTGGGCTGACAAAACTCAGTTGATATTAGACCTACTATTGGTATGTACTTTGACAGCCTTCTGAAAGGTCGACATCGTATTAGACAGCAGAACTAATTATATTGATAGCAATCACCCGAGCTCATATGAAGGTAATTTGCAACGTTAAACAGCAAGGTGGCAATACAAATCTAATGAAATTTATAGCTACCAGAATTAGAAGCTAGCGTGCGTGAAGGTCGGCTCAAGCCGGATGGCAAGATTTGCTTGAATGAAGCTGGTGAACTTGCAGTCACAAAATTTGCCGTGGAACCAGTATGTTAATTATCTGCTTGAAAGATATACGTCTAATAATATTATAGGTTTGGTATTTACCTGGGGTGGCTGAGCGATTTGGCATTTGTTCGTATTTCTATCACAATTTCGGGAGTCGTTCTGCTTACCCATAGTCTAGCCGAAGGGGTTCTGAGGAGAGCATTGTTCGAGCACACTGGTGGATCATACCCCGAATTGATTACCAGAGGAGATATCAAGCTCTTCATGCCACCAATTGGTATGGAATAGTAGTCTCGGTCTATCGTGGAGATATCTAATTATCCATAGGTGGTTTGACTGTCTACTGCTTTGGAGACCCCGCGAAGATGTCAGATGAGAATGCTCGCCTAGCTTTACGAATTCATGACGAGGTAAGAATCAAATGCCGCAAATTTGAGGTATTACGATTAGGAGATCTTTCATGCTAATTTCTTGTGATAGTGTAACGGAAGTGACGTGTTCGGATCTGATATTTGTACATGCCGTCCTTACCTGATCTATGGTATCGAAGAGGCTGTCAAGGAGGCGCAAAAGGGTGGTAGTGGGGTAAGTACAATCGGTTCCATTTCACAACCCTGACATTCAACTCTGTTTGCATATTTCGTAGTTTATGTTCAATGGCACATGGGCAACAATTTGGATCCCCAATTACGTTCGCTTTTTCATGCAATTTTTGTTCCTTGCTTCCTTTCAAAAGTTTACCGGCAATTACTGACTCTTGTGTTTCTAGTCGGTGAGTTATGTATTTGACAGTGCTTCAACACCATGACTAACTGCTTCCCGAGTGATTTACTTCAGAAAAGAAGGTAGAGCTCTTGGAGAGGTTACAAAGGTATTTGATTATTTCCGCGGCTGATAGGTTGTCTGCACTGCATTTACCCTTCTGTTGTGGAGCTCATCGAGGCTTATCGATTTGTTCCAATACCCACTTCACCACACCATCTCCCCACTTCCTAATCATTTTCCGATGACATCCGCATTTTATCCCCTCAGATCTTCATGATTTATCACTTCTCTGGATCTTTGAGACAGCCATCTAACTCGGTCATGTAGTACCTCGTTTATAACGCTAGAAAGCGTGGACTTGATCGAGCTTCGGAATATTTCAAACGCACGGAAAATATTGCCGGTGTAAAGGATATGCGTTTCCAGGCATTGATGCCCGACATTCTTCATTGGTTGGGAATAAAGAAAATTGACAGAATGCTAAGTATGAGCAAGTAAGTTGCTTGAATCCACTACATAAGACGCAGGAGTAACCATATTTACAGCATGAAACACGATGCCATAGTCGGTCAAGGGTAAGAACCAAGCACGCGACGTTGGTTTCCATTACTAAACAAACGTCTAGAATCCCCATCCATGAGAGAGTTGAGCTTCCTGAATCATGGATCCCAGCGGATTCGAGGGTCGAGATTGATGCAAAGATTACAGCAGGTCAGTCTTGCACGCATCATTTACCATCCATAAATTGTAATAGGGCTGAACAATTGCTACTAGGATACTTTACTACTGGTCACAGAATGACAGAGGAGGAACTTGCTGCTGTCAAGGGACGCAGTTGGGATGAGTATGTACCCCTTCAAGAAATTTTGCAGTAGTGAGACTTTATGAAACTGACCCAGAAATACAGTATTGATCATTGATCACGCGCGGAGAGAAACAGTCATGACTCGGGCCGCACAATATGTACCTGCATGCAGTATGAATGCCTAACATACCAAACGTAGTCTAGTACATAGAACAACGATTTTATTTTACCTTACCAATGTTTTAACTTTTGGCTTGTCAGATCTCGGTTGAGCATGGTGACTTGTTTGACAAAACATACGACATTACGACATTACCGTATTCTAACCACAGGAAGTAGGTACAGTAGTGGCTTCACGACTATCGTATGCAGTCAAACCACCCAATATATATATCAATTCTCCCAAGTTCCAAGATTCTTGAGAATTGGGGGGGAACGCCATATTATCGTAAAGTTTGAGTCGTATCCAGACATTTATTGGGGGCAACCAGTAAGGCGGGCCCGAGTGAGGGGTCAACATTGATAGTGTATTTTGGATGGTAAGCTTGCCCACCTTTTTCCATGCACGTTTGATGCATGTGTACAACACCATAACCATTAACAACCCACCACATCATTATTGTTGGCGTGGACGCAATGATTGCGGCAATTAGCTCACCGTCTGACATGTGGCCAGACCGACCCTTTTCTTTTTTATCGGCTTTCTGGTAAGGATGTCCTAAATCGGCCTGAGTTGTTTATCTACGTAGTGTTTTGCATTTGCTTGACAGGCCTGCCATGCTTTTTGTGTGTGTTATTTAATATAGACAAGTGCATCGCCCGACTTGCTTTACTCCTCTTTCTTTCCTTCTAGAAAACCTTCCCCGGAATTAATATACTCTTGATCACTCACTTCTTTACAAAGAATTAATATCGTCAAAAGCTTCAAATCTATCATCAATTTCACCCAATCTCATCAATCGGTCTGCTCCGGATTATCATTCGACCCAAGTGGAGAAAACGAAAGGTTATAAATTATCACAGGACGATCATTCCTTCGCCTCAACCGCACATCAAACGTGACTCGACCAATCACAATTCCCCTCTTTCCGCTCCGTAGAAATTCACCATGTCCACCAAAACTCAATCTCGCGGATCCTCACCCAGCATGTCTGCTCGACCCAAACTCATGAGAGCACATGCCACAGCGCCTTCCCTCGTCACCGGCAATGCCTCGCGTAAGGATCTCGCTACGCTCCATGCTTCCACCAAAGCGGCGTCGATTCTCACGCGGGTGGCTAGCTACTCGGCTCAGCAGGATCACATGAATGGAGGGGCTTCGAGGAGAGACAGCGGGAGTGCGTACTCGACGCCTGGAAATCGCAGTCCTCGGAGTCCGGAGAGTGGCAGTGGATTGGCGAGGAGCTGTAAGCAGGAATTGGGGATGAAGGGGTGCTCGGGTGGTTTTCAGTGTTAGTATTTTCTATTCCTCCTTTTTTTTTTGCCTTCTTTTTCTCTGCATGTCCTTTTCTGGGTTGCGGGCTTGAGGTTCCCTAAGAAGACAAATGGCTGATTAAAGTGATAGCAGCGGGCTACTTTAGCTTTCCCTCGTTTGAAGATTTTCAAGGATACCAAGAACCAAATGAGAGGATGGAACGAAAGAGCGTCTCATGAGACACTCTTCACAAATCATTTGTTTGGATAATCGGGATGGAGAAAAGAGACGGAGAAAGAGATGGAGAAAAAAGAAGGTACATAAGTGGGATGAGATGATCGTCCTTCATCATCATCATAGTAATAGGTTCTTGGGCTGGTTCTTGGGACGGACAGGTTTCGATATTCGGATATTCTTTGATACCTTTTTCCGTGCAGCACACGGATGGAATGGACACATGGACGGACGGACGGGATAAGTGTTCAGGGCGTCCGGAACACGGGACCGGTGGTAATTCTTTAGTAAAAAGTATGGGGCGGGTCGATTCGGTTTGATTCGATCACGAATCTGAGGATCTCTCTCGGCGGATCTGGATTGAGCTTATAAGTTCTTATCTCGGATTTCTGGCGGATGAGAGATTGCTGTCGATCGGAATGGTATGGTATGCTATGGCATACCATTGAGGAATGAATGGGATGTTATCCCCCTGGGGTAAACAGTGCTCCGTATATATGGGTTAATGTTTGAATCGGTGTACATTGGGAATCTGTATTTATGGCTGGCATTCCTTCCTTACACTATATACCCTTTCATATATACATTGGTTTTGGGCGTTGGTATTTATTCAAAGAAATACCTGGTATTTATTTAACAATCTAATCGAATATTTTAAAAAGACTTTTTGGTTTCGTGCGTGTTTTCTTTGTTGAGAGTAGATTGACTGATCGATTGAGTGATGGATTGTGTGTGCGATGGACAATGGGTCTGAATGGGAAAGAGGATGTAAATGATTGAGGAGAAAAGAAAACTCACATCGATTTTCTAACTCTGATACGCAACAAACTTGTCATAGCACCTCCAATGTCGAGCTCCTGTGTTTCATAACACTAGATTAGAAACGAGATGAAGATATTCATGTGGCTATAGAAGTGTGAATGCAGAAAATTGGCTTGAGCGACATTATTCTAACACAGTTGTGTATTTTTCAACTTATCAATCGTTGTGTAAAACCAATGAAATCGTTCATCATGTGCAATCCTCATGGCTTCTCCATGATATTCAGATCAGTGCCACTTGGCCATGATTCTTCATTGAACACATTAATGAAATTTTTGTAATTCTAGTATTTCTGATTTACTTTCCAGAAAGATCCTACACAATTGATTTAATTAGTTCTTCAGGATGATAATCGAAGCCAGCAAGTGTTTCAATTTCAATAGAATAAATGTACTGGGCTATATCCTATGCCTAATATACAACTTTTTTGATCCGATTTTCCAATTCTCAGGTGAACCTTTTATGCGTCTCCCGCCCTGCCTATGTTGAAGGGATTGTTTAGATGCAATCCCAAGACCAAGCGCCGCCACTCCTGTTGAATGTCCTTTTAACTCAAAACTCCCAATGCAAATTTGTACATCCAATTCTATTTCTTCATTGTTCAATAAAGCACACGGGTGAGGATACGTGCTGAATATGTTAGTTTTGTATGATTGAGTAAATGTGTAGAGTGACTTACAGCTCAAACCTTCTAAGCTCTCAACAATCTCCTTGAGATCGCTAGTTTGTACGTTGCTGATATCAGCCATAAGGTAGGCAACCTGAAAGATATTAGCACATGATTACAAGAGTTGAAGCGCCAAGATTTACTTACATCGCCCTTGTTATCAGTAATTTGCTTGTCTACATTGTGGTCGCCGAGAATTTCGTTAACCTTTCTCAAAACACCAGGAATGTTGTGATGGATGTAGATGACCTGTTGTAATCAGTAAATCGATCGCATATTTGCAAGAAATGAACTTACTCTCGCATGGTTGGACTCGTCCAATGTAAGCGAACGAAGGTTGACCTCTGGTAAGTTCACAGCTCCAAGGGTAACACCCAAGTTCACGTATCTCACAAGAGCGTCACCAACTGAAAGGTCATGTTAGCCAACGATATTTCCAATGCTTGAGAAGCACATACCTTCAACACCAATAGCACGTTGGGCCTCCTCGGTACTGCCACCAATGTGAGGGCTGAGAATGATGTTTTTGAGATTACGGAGATCCTCTGCCCAAGTGTTTAACTCGTTTGTAAAGTAAGGTCCATTTCCACCTGGCTCACTTGGATATACATCCAAAGCTGCACCGGCAATCTTTCCACTTCTCGAGGCTTCAATGAGAGCTGGAATATCAATCACACTGCCACGGGATGCATTGATAAGATAGCTTCCCTCCTTCATTTGATCGAATTGTGGTTTTCCAATAAGATTCTTAGTCTCTGGAAGCTCTGGAACGTGGCATGTGATGAAGTCCGCGGTATTGAGTAATTCATTTAGAGTAGGAACCTGTCTGGCGGTACCCAAAGCCATGAGGTTGACAACATCGTAGTAGATCACTGACATGCCCATAGCTTCGGCAAGAACAGATAGTTGCGATCCAATGTGGCCATAACCAATTATACCTGAAATCGAGAATTAGCCCTATGCGAAAAGAAGGCATGCGTGCAATTACATACCAAGAGTCTTTCCACGAATTTCCCAGCATTTGTTGCTAACTTTGTTCCAAACTCCATTGTGTAATTCATTCGATCGGTCGCCGAGTTGACGGGCAAGGACAATGATTTCCGCAATGACCAATTCTGCTACACTTCTAGAGTTGGCGAAGGGAGAGTTAAAGACTGCGATTCCATGTGCGGCAGCGTAGTCAAGGTCGACTTGGTTTGTGCCAATACAGAAACATCCCACCACAATCAGGTTCTTGGCTTCACGAAGGACTTTCTCGCTGAGCTTGGTTTTCGATCTGATTCCAATGACGTGGACATCTCTATACAATGATTGTTAGCAAGTCTTGCTTCTTTATTGGCTTCATTCATCATACCGAATCTTTTCGATCAATTCGGCCTCTGGCAAAGAACTCTTCAGTGATTCAACTTGGTATCCTTGTCCGGTAAGAATATCCTTTCCACTTTGATTGACATTTTCCAAGAGCAAAATCTTAATGTTTTCTTTATCAAATGGCTTCAATTGCTTTGCCTGAGCTTGTGCATTTGCTCTCGACATCGAACCTCCATAGCTCGAGGGTGGAGAATGGAAACTTAATGTAGGGGAGCCGCTCAGGTTCATGCTGTTGGAGACCATTCTTGAAAGGCCGCTTGCCCCAACGATATCTTGTGGTGTAGTCATTTCTGAAGCAATTGATTGCGAAGTGTGAATATGAATATGGAAAACTATAAAGATTGATGAATGATGAATGAAGAATATAGAAAATGAATCTTCCAAAGGTCAGGGGATTAATCAACAATTTAAGTTTTCTATGTTCATGTATGGATGAGTCAAAACCTAGTAAAGTTGAGGGGCATGACAAGCACAAACTCGCAAAGTATTGCTCTACCAGAATATCGCGTCATCGGTAAGGCTCGGCGAGGCTCCGGAACAATGAAGTGACATGAGAATTTTCATTATTTGCTTTATTTTCACAAAGTCATAAAGCAATAAAGCAACAGGTCAAGTCAAGTGATGCCGATGCCGGTACCAGTTACCAGTTACCATCTTTCCACATGGACGGAGTAAATTGTACGATGGAGGATGGGGATGGTCAGGATAGGATGTGCAGCCGGGTGATGGCAGTGATGGCAAAAATAGATCATCCGCGAACACTCTTTTCAATATTCGATGTTGAATCAAACTACCAGAACGTTGAATGGGGAGTTAGATAGAATACCTACCTGTCTCTCTAGTAAGCAGGTTCTACTTGTCATAGATGCTGGGAACTATGTAGGAATATCTAATCCAGATGGGTCACTACTACAGTATTATCAAAATTGTCATTGTCCTATGTTTGATTCTAATGCATGAGCCAGCTCATGTGATTGGTATGTCGCCTTTTCTGTCTGTATCGAGGGACCCTTAGCACTGGGAGAAGAAGGCAAACATGAAAATCGAGATAGAATATAACACTCTTCGATGTTCCAATGATTCCAAATGAACTGACCCCCCTCGCCCTCCACCTTCACCCTCACCCGAGAATGCTTTATTATTGTATCAAATTTGCAAAAGTTTTCCCATGTATTTTCGATGATTGGGTCTGCCGCACTTCTTAGTACGTTGACCCTTCGTGGCGCTTGGACCATTCGAACTATCAAAAATAACTCGCTTAATTTTCATTTACGCACAGAAATCAAAATTGTTTGAAGACCTCTTCTTGATTTCACCAGACCACCAACGCCCACTCAACAATTCAATCTCAGTCGGCGAAAAGGTAACTAATCGCAATCATGGCTGTCGGAAAGTGAGTAAATTCCTCGCTATTATATCCTGTTTCCTCGATACTGTGCTGTTGCAAATCGATGAATCGCAATACACACGCATTCGATATGGCGGGTTCGCGACAATTGAAGGAGGACGAGGGGCAAACCATCAAGAACTGGAATCTGACAGCACGACAGGAATAAGCGTCTCTCTAAGGGCAAGAAGGGTTTGAAGAAGAAGACCTTGGATCCCTTCACCCGTAAAGACTGGTACCAAATCAAGGTATGTTGAATTTTGATACAGAAACTCATCCGCCGAGACTGACAATATTTATCACAGGCACCATCTTCATTCCAAATCAGAGAGTACGACAATCCCATTACCTATCTTTCGAATTTCATCTAATAATTTCTACAGTGTCGGAAAGACCCTTGTCAACAGAACCACCGGTCTCAAGAACGCCAACGACTCATTGAAGGGAAGAATCGTCGAGGTTTCTTTGGCCGATTTGCAAAAGGATGAGGACCACGCTTTCCGCAAGGTTAAGCTCCGTGTCGATGAGGTTCAAGGAAAGAACTGCTTGACCAACTTCTACGGTCTCGACTTCACATCAGACAAGCTCAGATCTCTCGTCAGAAAGTGGCAATCCTTGATCGAGGCCAACATCACCGTCAAGACCACCGACGACTACCTCCTCCGTCTCTTCGCCATTGCTTTCACCAAGCGCAGACCTAACCAAATCAAGAAGACCACATACGCTGCTTCTTCCCAAATCAGAGCCATCCGCAAGAAGATGACCGAGATTATTCAACGTGAGGCCAGCACTTGCACTCTCACTCAACTCACCGCCAAGCTCATCCCAGAGGTTATCGGTCGTGAGATTGAGAAGGCAACCCAAGGCATCTACCCATTACAAAATGTATGTTCAATTATTTAGAGAGGTTGAAATTTTATATGCTAATTTTACACTAGGTTCACATCAGAAAAGTCAAGCTTTTGAAGGCACCCAAGTTCGACCTTGGTGCTCTTCTTAACCTCCACGGCGAGTCAAACACAGATGAGCAGGGTCAAAAGGTTGAGAGGGAATTCAAGGAGAAGGTGTTGGAGGAAGTATAAATTAAGGATGATGATGTTATGTGGTTTGGGTTTGATGGTGCATGATATGTAGTCAAGTCTGGGCTTTGGGCAATATAGGCGTGACTTTGCATCACATATAGCCTTGGGCTATCATTCAATTCCAAAAATGTCAAAAAAATGCAAAAACACAGTGTCCATGAGGACGATCCACGTGAATGCACTGGTGGCGTTGTTGATCTTGCATCAGCCTTGCTTTTAGCGAGTGACGTTGTGATTAACATGGCCCCAACATCTTGCTTTCCTTATATGCATACCACTCCCTTTTCTACATCAACCTCACATCCACATACTACAGCTCTTTATTTCTCTAACGACTTCTCAATATCCTCACGATGGCATCTGACGAATCTATACCAACTCTTAAAATTCTCTTGATAGGTCCGTCCGGAGCTGGTAAATCTGCATGTACGACCCCCGATTCTACCTTATGCATTTGTTTTATTGCGGTTGAGATAAAAGGCTAGGCTTATGCTAATAGAGTATTTTTTGTCTAGTGCTCATACGATATTGCGATGATCAGTTTGATTCAGAAAGTAGTACTGCTACTATTGGGGTTGATTTTAAGGTTTGTCTCTAATTTTTATTCTTTTTCTTTCCCTTCTATTTAAATAGATGAACGAGGCAGATGCTTTGATACATTACAGAACAATAGCGCATATATACTAATACCTTCGTTATCTCTAGTTGAAGACCCTCTCTATCCACGGCTCTCCTTACCGGCTTAATCTACTCGATACAGCAGGCCAAGAACGTTTTCGCACGCTCTCAAATTCTTACTATCGGGGTGCGCATGCGGTATTGTTGGTCTATGATGTTACGAATCGCGAGTCGTTCAATAGTTTGAGTAGATGGATTGATGAGGCAGAGAATAATGCGGTAGATGGATGTGTATCCTGGATTGTGGGAACGAAATGTGATTTGGACGGTAAAGGGAAGCGGATGGTGAGCGAAGAAGAGGGAAGAAGGCTGGCGGAGGAATGGAGAGAGAGGGGTGTGGCAGGATGGGGAGAGTGTAGTAGTAAGACTAGGGAGGGGGTGAAGGGGGTTTTTGAGGGAGTGGTGAGGGAGGTCGTTAAGAGGCCGGAGTTGTTGAAGGGAGGACAGAGGAAGTCGGGTGGTGTAAGTACTTGTGCGATTGCGATCGTGCTGGGAAGGATGTGCTAATGTGTTCATTTACAGGTCACGATCGGAGGAACCAACGATAGCTCTGCATCGGGTTGCGCTTGCTAGACTTCATAGTCTTACGACAAGTTGATCAAGTGGTACTGGCACACATCATAAGATATTAGGTAAACAGTACATGGATTGGTGGATACGAAACATTTGTATACGGAGGCGTTACGTGGGTATTATTCTTTTGGATGGCATGGACTTATGGCAGATACCCTTTTACATACACACAATAGACTGTACATTTTTATCCTTTCTATTCCTTTGGCTTCAAGAATTCTACGACAGCTAGTTCCACATCAGTCAGCAAAAGTTCTCACAGTTCTGTTCACAAATGGAAAGACAAACCTTGTCTAAATTCCTCTGGTTTCTCAGAGATTACCCAATGTCCAGCATCTATATCGGCCAATTCGAAACGGGGGAAGAACTTTCCAATTATAGGAAGTGCTTCATCTGGCACATAGTGGCTTTGAGTTCCACGAACAAATAATGTAGGTTTGTTGAAGCGTATCGAATCTGGATCCTTGAACGGGAAGTCGCCCAAATTGTCCAAAGCAGCTCCGATAATCTTGAGAGGAACCTTGAATTTTTGCGTCTTATCTTCAGTGCGCACAAGGTTTCCGAGGAGAAATTGGCGGATAGGAAGCTCCTCTTCATAGTCCTGCAAGATTTTATCCGCTTCAGTTTGCTTAGAGACTCCCGCGTCTTCGATTTTCTTCATTCCTTGGATGTATTTTGCAAAGTTACTGAGGAGTGCCGCATCAATGGGTGCATTATCCACGGATACTATATCTTCGACCATTTCTGGCGATTCAAGTGCTAAAGCCATTGCGGTCTTTGCTCCCATTGAGTGGCCTATCAGTGTAGGCCCGGTAAGTTTATGCTCGTTTATGAATCCAGCTACATCGGCTGCCATGGCAGTATAATCGTGTTTAGGGTGATGCGGTGAGTCGCCATGATTTCGAAGATCCTATTTGCTCTCAACATATGCTCTTCAAAGCTCTTCAAAAGATGTGACTTACAACCGCATAGACAGGCCTTCCTAGATCTCTTGCGAGAGCCCTGAAGTCGAAAATTAGTGAACCGTAACGACGATAAGACGGGTGCGCAAGGAAAGCTCACTTACTGATGCTCCTGTTATTCTTCTTGGATCCGAATAAACCATGCATGAAGATGATGGCTCGTGGAGCATTGGACGAGGCTTTGGCAGGTTCGTACAAATCGAATGCCAAAGAAACGGTGCTAGATGTAGAGTAATTCCTCCGACATGCTCGGAGGAGAGTAGGTGATAGCAAGCGAGGAGACATATTGCACGGAAAATCAAATCTTGCTACCGTATGTGAAGCGAAAGAGGAGAGTGAAGACTGAGAGATTGGAGATAACAGAAAAATGTTTTAGGTCTAAAATGGGAATTTATACAATTGGTCAGCCTTGTGATATCTCATGGCCGATAAGTGACCGCTCAGTGACCGATGATCCGCCGTTAACTTCGGCTTCGACCGTTGTTCAATTTTGAGTTTGACATTGTGCTGGAATGTCATTTCGTGTTGTGATGTGGAAGAATCAAATGTTGTCGTCTCATGAGTTCCTTGGAGGAAAAATAGATCCGTACCCTTGAACTTGTTGGTATATATGTACGATGCCGAAAACAGTTACTTTATGGCGTTGGAAGCTGCACTTCTCATGTGACAATGTCTCTCTTTGGCGTAACGTTGAAGAAACTCCGACTTCACTCTGATGAAGAAAGACGAAATGGTCTATCTACACCTCCACAATGTCATGGAAATTGGAGATTACCTAGTGCTAGGTATTGATCAATTTTGCATAATGATGACCCAAATGATTAATATTATTTCAACCGAGGGAAGCGTCACAATTATACACTTGCCATGTTTATTTAATAGGCAATAAAGCTAATAAATGCTAATAAATGCTAATAAATGCCAATGCTAACCAGCCAACTCATCAGCCTGGCTTTCTTGCTAATCCTCTATTTAATATTTATTACCATCTTCCCAGCAACTTTTGCTCATACATACCACCTAGCTGGGTACGTACCTAGTAAAGATCATAAGGTGCAACAGCCTCGCTTTCATTTAAACAAATCACAGTAGGTAAGCAGACGACAAATCATTCAAACCAACCAACCTCAATCAACCTTTCATCTTCTTTCCTTCTGGACCTTTCTTGTCTTCAATTCACTACCTACCTTATCTTATATTCATACGATTATTTAATATTCTTCCGTTTCATGTTTCCTGTAGCCGATTAAAGTTGCCGTGTATAAAACAACCTCTCCGACCCTTGTTCATACATTCGTTCATATACACTTTCGACGTTAACAGCCGTAACTACCACTCTTTGTAATTCTTTCATTATCCAGTAACACTACAACCAACCGTATGGCCCAGGCCAAAATGCCAGAGGCACAAGAAATGCTTTGTCCCTTTTGTGGGTTCAAAACAGAAAGCGAATATCAAATAATGGTTTGTTCTTCTTCTGAAATATTACTTTGGGTCAAAAAAGAGAATCCCGTTTGCTAATGAAAAGAAAGTTACATTTGGAAACATTACATGCTGAAGGACAATCACCATTCGTAGCAAAAGATAGTGCAAGTGTTGTCGCAATGGTAAATCAAGATAATGTTAACTATGCCGATTGTCCGATTGATGGGTGTGGAGAAATGGTATTGTTTGATGAGCTCGATAATCATGTCGAGATGCACGGAGAAGAAGATGGCAATATGGACCTAGATACTCCCGCGTCGGGATCTTCTCGACAAGAGGTCAAGAATGGTGCTGGTAAAGATGCTAGTTTTGGTACAAAACTCACACACGCACTGCGAAACATCGATCATGGGCATGATTACGAACCCCGAGAGCCACCGCCAGCGCAAGCCGGGACAAAAGCATGGAGAGATATCTTGAAGATGCCTGACATCACTCTGAAATCACAGTCCAAACCTCCTCCCGCCAAGGGTACACGTCAGTTAGGTGTAGGTTCTGACTTTTTCAAATGTTAATTGTCACATGATATTGACCTCTTTCATGAACAGAAAGCAGAGCTTGGTCCCCATGCGCATGAGAAGCAAATGCCATCATGGCTCGTGAAGTTGCTCCAAGCAGATGGCCAGTACAAGACGATCAATAGGATCAATGCAGATGGTCAATTGAGGAGGGTCAAATATTGTCCGAATCAAGCGGATGGTATCATCCCTGTACTATCCCAGCTTCTTGACCAAGATCGCTCAGTAAGCTATGCTTACCTGTGTGATCCGGCTGTTCTCCACGTTTCAAAACTCATGAGAGAGGGTATGATGTTCACTTCCTTACCGAGTTTCGCCTATTAACCATATATCTAAGGGGGCTTCTGTGGCTACAGAAACATTCAAATGATGTGTTCGTATATCGTTAAATCCCAATTCCCTGGCCATAAAGTTCTCGGTGATGTTGTTCCAACTATTTTTGATATTCAAGAATATATTGAGAGCGCCTGGGACCAAGGAATAAACTCTCAAGGTCGAATAGAAACTGGTGGAATTCGTGGAACAAGGAAATACATCGGGACTCCTGACGTGAGTATCCTCCTCTGCTTCTCCTCTATCATATCCAGTCATCACGTCAATCAACTAACATGAACAATAGGCTCAAGCGATGTTTTGCTCTCTTGGAATCCCGTATGCTTTTCAAGGCTCTTGAATTTTTACATTGAATTGACAACATTTTTAGATGTGATACTGCGGCTATGAAGACAAGAAAGGATAGAGGAGACCCTCCAGCAGTCAATCTTTTGTATTCAAAGGTCGAGTCTTACTTTTTCGATGGTGCTCTCGATTACAACTGCAAAGTTCGTGAAACGTCTCTGCCTCCCATATACTTTCAACATCCAGGTAAATCCTCAAACTCTCGCTTCTACGTACCTATCTAACTGTTACGTCTCAGGTCACTCAATGACAATCATTGGATTTGAGAAACTGACTGACGGCACGAAAAATCTTCTCGTTTTTGATCCGATGTTCCATGATTCATCAAAAGTCGTCAAACTTGTTGGCGGACCTGCTCGTAGCAAACATCCCAGCGATCTATTGAAAGCTTATAGACGCGGAAATAAGTATCTGAAAAGGTACAATGAATTCGAGCTTCTCAAGTATGCAGCCCTTTTCAGCTTCAATCAATGCAAACCTGAAACTAACATCATGGTAGACTCGCTCCGCAACCGCGGAGCAAGCTGAATTGATCCTACCGAGTGTAATTTTATGAGCCAAGTTTTCCAATGGTTAATCCGACTGGCTGGTTGGCGAGCATAAGATGGAGTTTGGGTGTGTGAAAAAGGACATGACGATTTTCTAGCATGGCATCAACGGTAAAACTCACAAGGGAGACTGGCGCAATTTGTCATAGATGTTTTATTACAACCGTGAAGAACTATTAGTAAATATTTTTGCGAGTATAATTGCAAATCCGAAACGGAAGCTTCGAGATGCAAAATATCGCAAATGGTCACATGCTCTGTTGATAAATAGTGTCCACGATTTAATCGCATGTTTAATTTGGACTTTGAATTCTGAAAATACCGTTGTAGTTTATTCACTCAAGAGACAATGTCCGGGATTGGGAAGACTCTACGGTAAGAAAGGGACAGACTAGAAGCAGTTCGATAGTGTAGAGCACATCTTGCGATCAACTCCAACGAGCCCCGTGTATGTTGATTAGAATTGAGAACTCTTCTCAAGAGCTCTTGCCTTCAAATATCACAATCGAAAGAATCCATTGGATAGTGTGTTCTAGCGCGACACAATCTTTTCTCAAATTTCCAAGTGTGACTTCCAAATGTGCAACATGATATGTAATATGAGATGATATGATGTGTACAATAATACAAAAGCGAAGAGAGGGAAATGGGTATCTGTAGCATAGCATTCTTTGCCATCAGTACCTTTCTCTCCACAAAATCCACGAATTCTTTGGTTCCAACTCACGGTGCACCTTTTGCAAATGAATCTTCCCGGAATGGATTAGAGAAAGAGATCTTGTTTTGTTCCATTGATGCAACCTCCCATATAAAATTACATGCCGATATCTTCCCGTCCCCGGATATAGGAGCCGAGAGACTTCATATATTTGATTGCTCGATAAAATGTCGAGCAATCTGTTACCAGCCAACCCACTTTCCTTTCCTTTCTTTCCTTCATTGATACTCTGAACACGAAAATACCCTCCTCCTTCCATTGATGCTTTCAAAATTACTCTGAAGTGAGAAACGCCAAATTGATACAGCCAAAGCCAAAGCCAAAAGCTACCCACGCCAATCCCTAAGTGCAAGTCACTTCCCATGATCTCGCAAAGTAATATCAAGAAGATAGATTTATCTCCACCCTCGCAACTATGACCCCAACGCTAAAAGAACAGAATAATAATGTAACCACGTACCGAGAAAGACCGATGTGAACTCAACGACGATGCGCATAAGGATCTCCTATCGGCTCTCGGTCTCTGTATCGATCTCTCCCACGATCATGATTGGGACTACGACTTCGACTATCGCGAGGTTCTCGTGAACCTCGATTGTCGTAGTCGTGTCTAGTTCCATTACTATGTCGTGGACGATCGTCTCGACGGTCATCTCGTGGCAGCGGACGATCATCTCGGGGTGGACGGTCTTCTCTTGGTCGCCTGTTCGTGTTATAACTTGGGATATACGTATCGATATTCCCACCACCTCCTCCAGCTCTACTGCGAGGAAGAGACGCGTGATCACGATCACGATGGCCACGGCCATCTAGATCTTGAGATCTGGATCGGTGACCATGTGAATCTGATCTTCCGCCATCGAAAGCGAAATCAGTGGGCGGTGGTGGTCGTGGTGGTAAACCTCGATCATCTCTTCTCCAACCCGGTTTGCGATCATCGTATTGCTGATGCGGTGGGCCACTATTTCTGTAGCCACCGTGTGGAGGAGGGGAGGGTAGCGACCGTTTTGGTGACTTCGATTACTGGAGTAGTTGTCATATCCTTGCCCGCTTCCATTTCGGTCCCACTGATCCGGTCCCATGCCTACATCGCCTCCCTTAGGAGGTGGCGGAGCCTGTTTTTGGCCCCGATGCTGCTTTGAGTCGAATTCATGTGATGATTCTAAGATTGGTATGTCGTGTGGTTCTAGCGGGAAAGGAGAGTTTTTGAAGTATGGATGCTTTAATGCATCAATCGCGTTGGTGCGCTTCTTCCAATCGAGTTTAAGCAATTCCTGCAATAAAGAGATAGCACCCGAGCCTTGTTCTCGAAATTTTTGTGCTAACGTCGAAGGGCGCGGTGGGCTGAAGTTGAGTCCCTGAGCTTTGGGTAACAATCTCCATCCAGGCATGTTCTCCTCGTTGGGAGTGCCACACAAATCGAAAATAAGTTTAAGCTGCTGCTCCTCGCTCTCGCCTTGGAGGATTGGTTTTCCAAGGAACATTTCGCCAAAGACGCAACTGGTGATCGTTAGTTAAATTCTCGAAAGCAAGGTGTTAAACATACCCGACTCCCCAAATATCAATCGCTGGGGTATAGTTCTGTAGTTCCAAAAAAAGTTCCGGAGGACGGTACCATCTTGTAACCACCACAACAGTATAATGCGCTTTTGCTTCTCCATTCCCCTTTCCTGCGACCGGCACAGGTTCGTTATAGTGTCGCGCCAGACCAAAATCGGCAATTTGAAGTATACCTTTGTTATTGATCAATATATTTGCAGCTTTGATGTCTCGGTGAAGAATGTTGTTGTTGTGAATGAATTCCATCCCCTTGAGTAGCTGCAGCATATAACACTTGATTTGTGGTTCCGTAAAATGGATATTTGGGTTCTTTAAAAGGCCTGATAGATCGTGGTCGAAATAGGGAGTGACCATGTACATAATGGCCTTCTTCTTCTTATCGGTATTCTTCTGCGGGTGCTCGACGGCCATCTCTTCCAGACTCAAGACATTTTCATGCGAAAGGAGTTTTAGGGTTTTGATTTCGCGAAGAGCTGTGATTGGAAAACCATCCTTCTCGTTGATCATCAGGATCTTTTTCAGAGCAACAACCATGCCAGTTTTTTGGATTTGGCTTTGTGTACTTCTCCGAATGTACCCTCTCCGATTTTCCCCATGACCTCATAATCTGAAATTCTGGAGCAGCCGCGAAATGAGCTTTGCGCTCGAGTATGCTGGCGCGCATGTTCTGGAGTATAGATGCCATTGGTAGCTTGCGGCGCTGGTCGTGACGGGGTCGCCATTTTGGCAGAAAACGAATATGTAAGCAGGGAACCTTGTTGTGCGCGCGTAGATTATCGAGTATGCGATCTTGCAGTTGTGGATTTCGAGAGTTTTCTTCGTAAAGAAATGACGTCTGTCTCGAGTGGTGTTCGATGAGAGGGTAGATAGTTAAAACTAAAGCTTCGATTTAGGGCTCGTGTTGCGAGGTTAAGATTGATCTTAACAGCATTGTTGCCTTTCCCGGTACAATAGGAAGCGGAAAGACAGTAGGAAAGAGATTGATTTTATTGAAGAAAATTTATAGTGCAGTACACAACAGAAAAAGTGAATTAAATACAAAGGTTCAAGGTTATCGGACGAGTACCCAGCTTTCTGTATTGTGGCCTTAAATTTCGGGCCATTGAATCACATTTAGCTCCCGGGCCGGATTTCAAAGTTGTGTATGAACGACTGGGACTCAATCTGCATATTGAACCCTCACTTCTGAAAGCAACACAAGCCAACGACCATCGTAAGTCATCCGTACGCCTGCTGTTAACTGCATGGAACTTGTTCTCTGCTATATTTGTATCTGGTACTAAACGCTTAGTAGCATTATGGCACAACCACCTCCAGGACCCGGAGGACTCTACAGAGCTCCACCTATATACAGATTCGCTGGTACAGCATTGGGAGCAAGCATGTGGTTCTTCGTATGTATTCTCATGCAACCTTCTCACTATTGTCATGCTAATTCGTATACAGTTGATGTACCGCGCGAAGAAAGATGGTACGGCCACTCTTTGAATCTAGTCAAAGCAACAGAAACTGACACAATTTAGGTCCTGCATTGTTGGGCTGGAAGCATCCTTGGGATCATTGAACGTCAGAATGAGAAAGTGGTACGGGGCAGTCAGGATGTATCCATGTGCTGCCAGGACCCAGACAATCAAGAGATACCATCCAAAGCAGACTCTGGAATCACAACACGGATAGTGGGCCAAGAACTGTACATATGGAAGGAAATATATCATTGGGCATTGGAGTTAAAATTAAGTCAATTATACGTAGTCTATCGGTTCTACAGTGTCTATGTTATTAGGCAGAGCTGGGCTTCTCAAACAAATAGTGGGATACACCCCATGTATCTCCGCCTTCATAAGCAAACAATTCGGCGCACTGTGATTGAGTTAGCAAAGAATATTTGAAGAAACAGAGGGAAGTAACTTACTGCTAGGTAAAAGATTTGCCAACGGTAGTACCACATTGCGGTATCTTTCTCGCCATATGTTTCTGTTAGGTGAGGCCAAATCTCCTGCTTACTAGCTACCATCTTCGATAGCCAATCCTACAATTGTTATCAGTATGGAAGACCAAAGTTTAAACTGAATGATGGACTCACTTCGCAAGTCTTTGCGTAATGCTGGCCATTCACCCACCATTGCCTCTCGAGTTTGAGGTCTTTCTGGAAGAATAACAACAAATCCGCTGAGGGCATGGTACCTCCAGACTACAACATCCATGAGTCAGTAACTGTCTTTGGAGGAAATCTTTTGAAGTACAACCAGAGCTCAAAAGTGCATCAGATATCAGAGGCGATGCAACGAGATTGCATCACACTCCCAGATTCCAAGATGTAATTCCAAGTCAAGAGAATTGATCCTACTTACGAAAAAGTGTGTGCTCATCCATCCTCCTCAAAGTCGTAAGGTGTAGTCTTGTGAGCAAAAATATGAACAAACAGTTTCCCCCCTGGCTTCAAGGCTCTTCCAACCTTTGACATTAGTAGTTCATAGTTCTTCATATGCTCAAAGAGCTTCGTCTAATTAGCCATTGTCTCGAACGAATTCTTGCATGTGATTTACCTCAATGGATACAACTCGGTCGAAACTCTCCTTTTCAAACTCATAATCGACGACATTACCAGTGATGACTGTCAAATTCTTGAGCCCTTTCTCCTTGGCTTTCTCATCAATGTATAGCTTCTGGGTTCTTGAGTTCGAGAACGCTGTGATCTTAGAATTTGGGAGAACTTCCGCAAAGTACAATGCTCCTGAACCCCAACCACACCTAAATTGCATTAGTTTATACCATCCCCTTTTGTAGACGTCGTGTCTAGAGCTCAGAAACACTCACCCAAGATCTAAGATGCTCATCCCGTCTTTTAATCCAGCCTTCTTCACATAAGTTCCCAACATTTCCACTTCCGCCTGACCCAATGTTTCACTTCCCTTAGGATACAAACAACAACTATACTTCATTCTCGGCCCCAAACAAGCAGCAAGAACACCAGTTCCAACCTCATAATGCTGTTCATTGGCAGCAGCCGTCTCAATAGCAATAGGACGACTTCGAAGAAGCTCTACGTAGTTCATTTTACGCTCGTAGGCCTCTTCCAATGAAGTACTCTTGATTAACTCAATTCGCTCACGCAATTGGCGACGAATACCGAGCCGGATTACAGCATTTGGGAGATATCCTCCATCGAGGATCCAGTCTGGGAAAATGTCAGTTGCCACTGTCATGCAAGATTTCAAGTAAGATGACGTAGGTAGATTTACCATAGTTCATGATTAGCAGTTCAAAGATGTCAAAGGTTGAAAAACCAGAAGATAGTTCCCGTGAATATTTCTGGGGATTAAGGGAACTAAAATACAATTTGTTTCTGGGAGTTCGGAATCTCTGTGTTTAGGAATGTTCAAAGCGCGAGTGGGTGCGCGGAAGAGTCCCCAGTTAATATCATCATCTAAAATATACTCCGGTACCCGTAGCTCCTGTTAGCTTTTATGCTAGTGCTTGTCCATTTAAGTTAACTTTTCGCCCTCCCTATGTATACGATTAAGTTTTCAACGATCGAGTATCGCTTAATAATTTGGTTGAAAATAATTATCCAAATAGATTCAAAGTGATTCGTGAAGATTCAACAGGAGTCTAGGTCTCATGCCAGGCTACCGTAAGATTCTTATAAACCATCTATTTTCCAGCTTGTGTACAAATATAATTACATTGTGTTGTGTGTTTGTTCATTAGCCGCAACCATTATTGCACTGAACTCAAGCGCATCTCCTCCAACACCAACTTGTATATCTTCCTCTGCTTAGGCTTCCGGCTGATTGACGTCTTCAAAATACCCAAATATTTTCCAAGTTTCGGTAGCAGATAATTTTCAGATGTCCATGCCAGCGAGATATATCCAATTCCTAGAAACAGGATAAAAACCTCAAAGTCCCAGCTCATTTCGGTGAGTTGCATAAAATTCGCCAACCATTGTGAAGGATCAAAGAGCATATACAATGAGAATAGTAATGCTACGACAATCGTGACGACAAAAGGCACTAAGGGATAATTAGTCATCAAGATAAGAGAAGAAAGAAGTGCAAACACTTACGATTATGTGCCATGGACTGACGGAAAGGCTTCCCCACACTGAGAACGATTCCAGAAAGAATATATTCGAAGCAAGATACCAAAAACAACGTAGTATTCTCGGAGTTTTCAATGTTAGATTCATCCTTGTTGAGGTGGGGAGGAATGAACCAAGGCTGTTGTCGCACTGCTTGAAATGCAATGGCCTGAATGAAGATGCAAATGGCAATTTGACCTAAGAGTGGCGTCAAGACCTTCCTTGATACAAGATTGGCTGTAGGGCGTTTCTGGCATAGAGTAGGGAAAGGTCCAGTCCATCCCATGAATATGGCGATAGGTAAAATTAGTATTAGATCAATAAAAAGAAATTGAAAGTCCCCGAGGTTTGATGCAGATGCGTATAAGAAGCTCACAGATGTGAATTGAATGGCTGAGTACAGACTCATGTATTTGAAACAGCTGAAGCTGGTCACTAGAGCTGCTCTACCCTCACGTATAACTTCAGGAACGCAGGTAATGTCGAATACTCGACTGGTGAATGGCGCAGCGACGGAGGCTTCTGCTTCAGACAACGAGATTCCGACATCTGCGGCTTTCAAAGCACCACAATCGTTCGCGCCATCGCCACAAAATCCGCAGCAGTAATCAATACTCTGTAGTTTCTCCACTAGCTCATGCTTCTCGTCGGGCGACATCCGCGCAAATACTTGACCACAGACCAACATTCTCTGTAGAACAACTGGAGGAGCGAAATCAACAACCCAGCGGAAGACATCTCCACTCACGGCTAAAGAATAATTCCTCAGGTTAGATATATCGTAAGGCAAAGACGCATCGCCCTCCACTGGCGGAGGAAGTGGAGTTAAAGTTTGATCGTCGAGTTTATAAATGCCATTGTCAATGCTCTCCCATGACAATCGAGCTTTGGGATCTAGCGAGTTCCCTTCTGCGAAATGGGGTACAAAACAATGTGCGGTCTTGTCGATAAGATTGCATTCTCGAGCGACACTGATGGCTGTCAAGATATTGTCACCCGTACACATAACCTTCCTAATACCAGCTTCAGTCAATTCGTCCAACACACCAGCTGTGCTCGGCTTGAGTTTGTTCTCGAAAATAATGAACCCAATAAAGTTCAGTTCCGATTCGGCGTCTTCGCGGCTCATCTTCTGCATCTTCACCCAGTTAAGCTTCTTGATATGTTTTGTGGCACAAGCAATGACACGAAAGCCTCTGTGGGTATAATACGCAAGAAGATCCTCAAAATCACTGGGAAAGCTTTCCGCTTTACAAATATCTTTCATACATTCAGGGGCACCCTTTACATAGATGTCACACCCTTGGGACCCAAAGTTCCGGGCGATTACACTGGCTCGGCGAAGCTGGGAGACAAATTCGAAGGATTTGAGAACGCCAAGTTCAATAGGAGAGTTGGTGGCATTGTTTTGATCGTCCAAATCGTATTCCATGCCTGCCGGGGGTCGTGCAATTGAAGGTGACAATCCTCCCGAATCCTCATCATCGGTATCGCCGGAATTGTGTTGGCCTTCCTCAAAAGACCAACCAGTGAAGTCAAACATTTTCAGATCCAGTGGGTCGCCCATGAGTTCGTCATCAACGACTCGAAGCGAATGACATGTTGCCATTGTGTAGAGTATGGCTTTGTGGATGTTGTAATCAACTGTCGGGTCACGTTCGTAAGCCGCCCCGGGTAGCAATGATGTTGCATCAGTGAGGATATCACTGAATCTATTTGCGGGCTGGTGTACAGCTCTAATACCAAGCACATCTAGACCATCCTCAGTCAATGTTCCAGTTTTGTCGAAACATACGATGTCGAGCTTTCCACCGACGTTCACTCTTTGAGGACTGATACAAAATATCTGCTTTTTTCTAAGGCGTCCCAGGGCAAAATTGGTTCCAATAGTAAGGGTGGCAGGCAAAGCTGGCGGAACTACAATTGTTATCAGATCCAGAGCTCTGACAACAATCAAGTGCCATGCCAACTTCAAATGGACAAAATTTATGAACGATGCAACAAATCCTAGCATTGCAATACCGCCCATGACAGATATGTACCGGAAGGAATCTCTGTAAAACTTGAATCCTGAAGGTTTTGGGAAGAGCATGGACCGAACCAATGCGCCTTTTGTGGTATTGAAGCCTGTTCTGACAGCCATAGCGAGCCCAACTGCCTCGCCATCGTTATCATCATGAGGACGGCGTGCCCTGATGATTTTAGTCCCACAGAACAAGAAATGTTTCGCGAGCTCCGGTGCTACGGATGAAGCAGATAAGTTGAGAAGTCGCAATGATTCATCAGTAGCAGGAACTTTAGAGACAGGAACGGACTCGCCTAAAAGAAGTCAGAATTTGTCACTTATGAGATTTGTAGACCTTACCAGTGAGCATGCTTTCATTGACAATGCAATCGCCAGCCAGTAACAGACTATCACAGGGGAATTGTCCTAGAGCAGGATCCGTAACCTCGTAAACATCTCCAGGAACAAGTTCACTTGATGGAACATAACGCCCTAAAAATGTTAGCTTGTGTTCGCGAGAAAAGAAAAACCGAGTGACTTACAGAAGGAATTGCGCAGTACACGAACGTCACATTCAAATTTTGAAATTTCTCTCAATCGTTTCATTGTCTTTGGTTGAATTGTTAGTGTGTATGATACGATCTGTCAGGTATGTATATGTACTCACCGATTTAGTCTCTAGAAGTGTAGTAGTAATGCTCACAGCGGATATGACGAAAATGCACGCAGCGTAGTAATAGTACTGATCCATTGACCATAGAATAAGACTGGCAACTTGGAAAACATAGAACGGGTGGAATGCCTAAGCTAATTAGTAGGGATTTCTTCCAGGTGGAGAGGATTGTAAAGTACCTCATCTACAAGAAGTTGAGGAACAGTCTTCTGTTTGATATCGATCATGTTATTTCCGAAAACTAGTTCTCTATTTTCCTTTTCCTCTCCACTGATTCCAGAACGAATGGATTTTACATCGGTCCATGCTGGATCCTTCCAGCCTATGAGCTATTAGTTAGTGTGGTTCAATTATGACGGTAAGTTCACACAGGCTACGAAATAGCCCACGAATTCCAATAGTTTGGACTGTGTTCCGACATTGAAGAAGCCTTGAATCTTGAACATTTAGGGAAGCTGAGTCTGCCCAACGCATTGGGATATCAAATTGTGATAAACAATCCTAGGTTCTCGTTCATTGAAACCCTTCAAATTGAGGGTTCCGTGGTTCCATGTGGACTATTGAAGCCCGTGGGGGAGTTAGATAGGGATAAACTCACTGTTACAAAGGACGAATCTATCCTTTAAAGGATTGAATGAGAATCGCATATAACGATAGTCAAGAATACGTAAGTTGTCCAAAATTGGGTCGTCGTCATAATCATAAGACATATATTTCTTTTCAGATAGCCCGAAGACTGTAGAAAGAGAGCGGCCATATTCCTTTGATTCGACATCTTGAACAACAAATTCTCCCCATTGGTTCTACGCACACAAATCAAGTCAGCACGCGTATTGTTGCAGTTTAAGGGGGCACACGGAGTCGCCTGGAAAAAAAAACTGGAATTTCGAGTATATGATTATTACTGACTTCAATGACGACCCAAGTACATTCTCTCAGCGGTGATGGAGTACCAATAATCCGAACTTGCCAGCGCGGCAACCATCGTAGCAAAAGATAACCAAGACCAAAGGAAAGTATACAGATGGCCAGGTAGAGCGCAAACCCAAAAGTACTTGTTCGAAACCCAGCGACTACTATGGTAAGGTCCTCTGTGATGATGTATAATTTTTGATTCGTTCGATGACCTTGTCCAAGATTGCTCCCATCTGTTCTTGCACTGTCACTGCGTAATAATCGATCGTGCACGGAATTTCTGGATTCTATGGTTGACGTCCTTCTCATGGCCAACCCGGCAGCTTCTAGGTCCGAATCTTCCTCTTGAAATTGAGTGTCGTCTTCCTCATCTATTATAGCGCTATCGTCTTCGTCCTCGGTACTTCGTAAAAGCTCATCGTCCTCGTTCTCTTGATAATAGGTAAAACTTGCAGTAGAATCTGCTCGTGACCGTCGATGTGCGAAGGATGCAATGCTAGAGGGAACCGATTCAGAAACAGCACCCGAAAACATCTCATCATGTGCCATCTCGACATCATCCATGAAACTTGTAGTAGACACATTGGAATCTCTTCTGTAAAGCCCATGGCGACTTGTTCCCCTATAATTTGCGATCGAGCTACTTCGTCGAGGCCGGTGGCCTGCAGTAGCAGAACCATTGGACTCTGCCATATTGAATTGACGAAAAAATGAAGCTTTTGAGCCGAAAACCAAATAATTATGAAGGTGAAATATACATTATCGGTGAATGGCCAGAATGTTGGCGGCCAACCTAGAAGCTTAGAAAAGTTATAATTTTGTAGCGCGGCGCGATTCAACAAGCAGTACTAGGAAAGTCTTACTTGATACCCAGTAATCACTAGACTAGTAAAATAGTTCGGGCGTATTTTGCCTGGTTATTGGTCATCTCAACCTCAGGTTCATCATTTTCGCCCCGCCTTATCGGTTATTTCAGAAGTCGTGGTAGCCCGCAATCACAATCTAAACAAATCTTGGACGCTAAGATCCAACAACTTCTCAACCTCCACCTCAAGAACTTTTCTTCTCAAGAACATCGCCACGAGACAAAATCTCTTACACCCCAAGAGATACCTTCCCTTCTTTTATCAACCTACTCAAATAATTTAAAAGAATCGAAAAGATGTCGGACATTCCAAAGAAAAACAACCCCCAAACCGCTCCGTAAGTTTCAAAATAGACATTCCAAATACTTCAAAAAATTCCATATACAATATTGACGTTTTAATTTTCAGCACTCCTCAAAATACCCCAATGAACAACGCTCCTATTTCATCGCATGCTCAGCAACCTGGTGTTGGCACGATTAAGGAAGGTACGTTGTTACTCCGTCCTACACCGAGTTTTTAAGCCAATGACTGACATCCATCTTGCAGAGGAGTTCGACCGCGCTACAGCAGCCTCCATTTTCGCACAAAACCCAAAACTTGTCGAAATGATTCAAGGAAAGCTTGGCTCCCTTGTAGGCCGTTCATCTGGTTACGTCGAATCCCTCCCTACACCCGTCCGTCGTCGCGTTGCCGGCCTCAAGGGCGTTCAGAAAGAACATTCGAAATTAGAGGCCGAATTTCAAGAAGAGGTATTGGAGCTTGAGAAGAAGTACTTCGCCAAGTTCACTCCTCTTTACCAGAAGAGAGCTAAGATCGTCAACGGTGAAGTTGAGCCTACCGAAGAGGAGATTAAGTCGGGTGAGGAGGACGACGAAGAGCACGACGCAGAACAAGCCGAAAAGGTCGATGAGTCCGCCGAGAAGATTTCCGGTATCCCAGAATTCTGGCTGTCCGCCATGAAGAACCAGGTTTCGCTTGCCGAGATGATCACAGATAGAGATGAGGCCGCCCTCAAGGACTTGACCGATATCCAAATGGAATACCTTGACAAACCTGGTTTCCGCTTGATTTTCCAATTTGCCGACAACGAGTTCTTCACTAACAAGACAATCACCAAGACTTACTTCTATCAAAACGAGAGTGGTTACGGTGGAGACTTCATCTATGACCATGCTGAAGGTGACAAGATCAACTGGAAGGAAGGCAAGGATTTGACTGTCCGAGTTGAGAGCAAGAAGCAACGCAACAAGAGTAAGTTTTTTGCAACTTTGTCATGCTTGAATTCTACTAATTATCACTTCAGACACAAAGCAAACCCGTGTCGTTAAGAAGACAGTCCCAACAGAGTCCTTCTTCAACTTCTTCTCCCCACCTAAGGCACCTACCGACGAGGACGATGATGACTTGGCTTCGGATATCGAGGAGCGCCTTGAGCTTGATTACCAGTTGGGTGAGGATATTAAGGAGAAGCTTATTCCACGTGCAATCGATTGGTTCACTGGTGAGGCTCTTCAATTCGAGGAATTGGATGACGATTTGGAGGAAGGCGATTTTGAGGATGAAGACGATGAGGAAGACATGAGTGAAGACCGTGATGATGATGAAGATGAGTCGGATGAGGACGTAAGTTATTAGATGCCCATTTTATCTACATGAACTAACTGGGATTAGGATGATGCTGCGAAGCCCAAGCAAGAGGCTGCTGAGTGTAAGCAGAGTTAGATGAAATTTTGAGGGTTACCGACATTTTCACTCCCTGACTACCTTTCTAAAGGAACGACGTTCTTGGCCTAAGAGTACCTCCGAAGTGCTTTTGGCACACAAAGTCGTTCAGGAAGCATAGTCCGCAATTGCATAGGTGTTTTTCCCAAACTGCATTTTTGATCCGGTATTTTACTCGCTTCTATTAGAATAGCCTAATTGCTTAAGAAGCTTACATCCCTTCCATATTTTTGATCTCTATTTTCCACTGGTAATCCCCATGGAATATGTAGATTTCTTCTTAGGAAAAGTCAAATGACAATCACGATTCCATTCAAGTTCATATTAGTTTCTGTATTTGTGAGAAGAATAAACAGAATGAGGTTGTTAAGGCAACGTTCTGCATACTTAGCATACACATCATGTCGTTCATTTGAAATCTGTTGAACATGTGAATCGGTACCTACTAGGTAGGCAGTTCTCATCAATTTGAATAGTTTTACCCCGCGTCAACAAAACAAATGGAAAATGAAATTTTTTGCAGGGTTCTCTTCCCAGACTTCAGCCTTTTGAGTGAAAAAAAATATATATAGGTGGATTACGCCCCGCGCAAAATGATTTATAATGTAATATTCTCCCAGGTTCTGATTTCCATTCTTTCTGAAAGGTTATTCCTTTGAACATTGATTGTCAATCTAGGAGTCAAGCACCATAAGTAGAGATATCAAACTCCTCATATTAAAAGCTTTTCAACACGTACACATTCTTTAGCATCATCTAACTTGGATTGCTCAATCAAGTGATCCTTCAGGCCCAATGCGAGGGATCTCATTTGGTGTGCAATTTACATATTTTATACATAGAATACTAGATTTCGACAATCTATATACCTAGGTATACATGGGATTCTGTCTACATTCAAAGGTTTTCTTTCTTGGAGAGATATCTTGCAAGCTACCCTCATATTTCAAATGCCCTGATTATAACTTTATCTATGACACATTCACCCAAGCGTGCAAACGAATTTTATCGAAACAATTAAACCCCGAATTCCTTTGAGGATTGATCTCTTATGAAAGTTTATCTTAGACCACTTGACTATCATCAAACACCCCCCCTCTGTTCCCTAGGGACGGACTTGTCATACACACTGCTTACCTGCCCACGCTATGATACTATTTAAACTTTTAATTCTCTGAATTAGAATGAAACAATTGGATTGTTGAAGGGCCTCGCCAGTGGTCAATTCCAGTCTGTTTTTTCTCCTATGGATAGCCATGGCCACATCGAGACAACGGACAACAGTTGGACCTTCTTATTAACAAGTCAGTGCCAAGTTCTCTACATGTTGGTAGCCTGTCTCCGAGTATTCACAAAGCATGTTTGTGATTACACTTCTCATTACTGCTGCTCGAATTCCGGCCAGTCTTCGAATTTGGCAAATCCTGGGGCGGCGCCATCTACTATGAAAACTTACGTATCCCGGACTCATCCAGGCTCTGAACGACTTCACTGCTGGTACTCTAGAGGGATGAAAACTGATCATTCATTGTGGCAACAAGTTTTATTTCTAGCATGGGAAAAGTTTGCGTTTCAAACTTGTACTAACCAACAGATAATCCCCTATCACTCAAACCATTTGTGGATATCTAACTACAGCTAGGCACAAACACACTACAGATTGACTCACTGCTGAATTTCAACGAAGGGTAATCAGCCTTCAGCACCAAATGGGGCTCGTTAGTGGCTATTTACAACGAGTTTTCGTGTCGATGTCCAGCTCATGTGATTGATGCTCGAAGACTCTGGCAACTGCGTCCAACACCAGGAATTTTCCCTGTGAGACTACGAGGCGGCGAGAAATCTCTTCGTGGCTGGCTGAGAAACATGATTGAACATCAAGCCCTCAACGGTCTCTACCCTTCCAACCGCATCAGATGAACCATTCCTTACCTGTTTCATCTATACAGTGCACGCGAATGCTACATCAGATAGCCTCATATCATCCACTGTTCTCAATTTAATTGAGTAAATTGATACTCCTTCTGCAAAAGGACATTTATATACTCGGCACAGGTTCCTCAACTATGATTTGGAACGCAGAAGATTCTTAAAGAGTACGGTGCAAGATATATGAAGAAGTTGAAGGCGGCAAATGAGAAATGCGATCCATCTGGGCTCTTTCAGACCGTGGTGCCTGGTGTATCCAAGACTTCTCATATGGCACATTAATGGACCTTGAAGATTATGATACTCCCTAATACTGCGCCGGAGTCTATTAGATTCTCTGCCGAAATTTGAGATTTGGGAAATGGTAGCTGGAATCGCGAACTATGATTTTGTCTTTTAGCCCCTATGCATTCATTCAGCCAAGTTTTCGAAACTCCTCACAGAGCTCAAAGACGTTTCTTACTCTAACGTTGCATCTAGGTCGAAAACTCCTTACTGTGTTAAGCTTTCAAACTTATTACAATGAATCAGTTTGATCTTCGACAATCGATAATGCAGGGTTAGGTTCCAAGATTTCTAGAAAACTTTATTGGTAGGCTAAGCCCTACACTATATTTCCACGCGAAAGATATTATACCTGGACTAGAATTTAGCCTTTCTACCAGGTATCTATAGTAGCATCATCACAAAAACTCATGATTTAGACAAGTAAATCTCAAACAGATGGTCGAGTATTACTGACTTCTGCTTGAATGACTAGGCAACCTTTCATAAAACTCTATGCTGGGTCTCCCCAACTATAGTTCCCCAACTTTAAGCAGGGAGATAATTTGACATGACCAATGTGGGTTGAACGATGGGCAACAATGGTGAAATAGAGAATACCGACTTCATGCATACATTTGTAGACACCTATATGGTAGATAACTTGAAACTTACAGGATACAGCAGCTGTATCTGTATTTGGTTCGAGTGCTTATTTGTTACTGTGGATTGAATTTACACGTTACCATTTTGAAGTGAATCGAAGCGGTGAGATACCGATGGGTTAGCAGGAACACTCATTATTATTTTGTATTGCATGATTCGTCAAATAGAAAAGAAATGTTGATATTGTTGGATTCACCCGACTGCATGAAAAGGGAATAGACTCAATTTTAATTTGGATAATATAATGCTTGTAGTATCAAGAAAGGAGGAAAGAACATCAAGACTTCCTACTCTGTACAGCACGCTCGCTCTCTTCAGACCTGCTCTTTTCTGGAGTCCCATCATACCCTTTGCCTTTGTCCCACATTCACGAAAATAGGGGTCACCGGGAATCTGGTGTACTTTATGACTAAAGTATTTTAGCGTCGCCAAGACATATCCCTGTTGACGACTGAGCTCGCGACAAGCATCCTAAATCCCAAATACCGTGGCTCTCAACTCCTTACCATCTTCGAATGCATCTTGTACTTATTTTACAAAGAAAAAGAAGACAAGTCATTTGTGGTGGCATATCTTCAACACCTATCTCGCTACTTACTTGAACAACACCATTACAATTCGGGTGGTTCATTTCATGCAGACCGATACTGGAAGAACCACGTCCCCATTATTATCATATTTGAAGCAGTTCGAGGGCAGGCAGGTTCTCGATAATCAACACCGCCATCATGGCGCATAATTATGAGATTGGTACGAAGGCATGGCAGCCGGATACTACTGAAGGATGGGTTGCTTCGGAATTGGTCTCGAAAACATTGAATGGAGACAAGTACACACTTGTCTTTCAACTCGAAAATGGAGAGGTCTGTTATCCTACAACTGGAGAAGAACCTCATATACTCGTTTCTCTCCTCCCCGCCCGAATTGTGCTGACCTTCATCTCTCACGACAGACCAAGTCTATAGAAGCCACAGAAGAAGCGTTGACACAAGCAAATAATGCCTCACTACCCCCTCTCATGAATCCAACGATGCTCGAAGCTAGTGATGATCTAACGAATCTTTCCCATCTTAACGAGCCTGCTGGTAGGTCATCAAATACAAAATTTCTCGGTTTCTTAAACTGACTATGCGGTATAGTCTTACAGGCTATTCGATTACGATACTTGCAGAAAGAAATATACACATACAGTGGTATTGTGCTGATAGCAACGAATCCCTTTGCACGAGTTGATTCTTTATACGTTCCTGGCATGGTACAGGTGTATGCGGGCAGGCAAAGAGCTACTCAAGCTCCGCATTTATTTGCCATCGCCGAAGAAGCGTTTGCGTATGTAGCTGTTATTCAATCCCCGGTGACTTGCTAACAATTTGTAGGGACATGTTACGGAGTCAAAAGAATCAGACAATAGTGGTATCAGGAGAATCTGGAGCCGGAAAGACTGTCAGTGCCAAATACATTATGCGATATTTTGCTACCAGAGAATCCCCAGATCAGCCAGGGACAAGGACGAAACGGGGTACAGAGCAAATGAGTGAAACTGAAGAACGAATTTTGGCCACGAATCCTATTATGGAAGCTTTCGGTAACGCCAAGACCACACGTAATGACAATTCTTCTCGATTTGGAAAATATATTGAGATTATGTTCGACGATAAGACGAACATCATTGGAGCAAAAATCCGGACCTACTTGCTAGAGCGTTCGAGATTAGTGTTCCAACCACTCAAAGAGCGAAATTACCACGTTTTTTATCAGTTAGTAGCAGGAGCATCGGAAAGCGAGGCAAGGGAACTCGACTTGAAGCCCGTAGAGCAGTTTGATTACCTTAACCAAGGAAGTTCGCCAACTATCGACGGTGTTGATGATAAAGCAGAATTCGAAGCGCTTAAGGGATCTTTGGCAACAATTGGAGTGGATGCTGGTCAGCAAGCGGATATCTTCAAATTGCTTGCAGCATTGCTGCATTTGGGAGACGTAAAGATCACAGCCTCGAGAACGGACTCTGTCTTGGCTCCTAACGAGCCTGCATTGTTAAAGGCGACAGCGTTACTTGGCGTGGATCCTGTCGAGTTCGCAAAGTGGACTGTGAAGAAACAGTTGATCACTAGAGGCGAGAAGATTACTTCAAACTTGACCCAACAACAAGCCATTGTTGTGCGAGACTCGGTTGCGAAGTTCATCTACTCAAGTATGTTCGATTGGCTCGTAGATAGTATCAACCATGCCCTTGCCACCGATGAAGTCCTAGCCCGTGTGAGGACTTTCATTGG